CCATCAAGGATGCCCGCTCGCTCATGCCACACGATGGTAGCCCAAGCTCTGTGCCGGGACCACGAGATTCCATTTATCCGGTGACCATAACGAATGCTGTAACGGGAGCTGCCACCAATCTGGGCGTAGTGCCGCCCAAACTGGTTCCCATGGCGGCGGGCGGCATGGGCGCCAGCCCGGTGCAGTTGAATCCGCCAACGCTATCGCTCACCGGACTGCCCAGCATGACGAACAATGCCAATCTGCTGCCCGGCCTCACAGACGACATGTTCGTCCTGGAAGCGCCCTCCTTCATTGTGCCCTACATCTACGAGAAGCCTCCACACGAAAACATCTGCGAGGTGGTCAAGGCCATCGAGACCAAGTATGCCCTGTCTGCTGAGGATTTAGCTGAGGCGGACAAGGGCGACGAGTTCGACATGATGACCGAGCAGAACAAGGAGGACAAACTGGCGGATCAGGGTGGCGAAGATGGTGCTAGCAAGAAAAAGAAGAAGAAGCGGGGCGACGACGAGTCCTGGTCGGAGCAGTCGGACGATGATGATGACGAAGACGACGACGACGACTCGGAGTCGGGAGTGCGCACCAAGGTGCTGATTAAGGAGGCAAACGACGACCTGAGCGCCCTGAAGGTAGCCATCAAGCCCGCCGCCTCTTTGGCCACAGCCGGCGGATCAGTAGCGCTCAACAATCCGGGTGGGAGCAAACCCGGACAGGAGAACTACTTCGAGAGTCCGTTGGGCAAGTTCTTCATGGACATTGGCGTGGGTCTGGTGCAGGAGTACGTGCAGGCGGATCTGCTGCGCTTGCAGAAGCGAAAGATGCGCAAGGCGCAGGTGCAGGGCGTGCCCAAGGAGTTTGAGATGGCCATCAATGCGCTGTCGGGCAATCTGCAGGCCTCCAAAACGAAAAACGCCCCCTTCAAGTTCCGCATGAAGCGCTGCGAGTTCTGCAACTTCAAGTCGGAATCGGCCATGGCGATGGCCAATCATTACGAGACGCCGCACATGAACGGAGTGCTGTACAAGTGCAATTTCTGCACATTCGAGATCCGAAACGCCACCGAGATTGTCTACCACATGGAGGCGGTGCACAACATTAAGGCGCGCCTGATCAAGCCACTGCCCTATCACCAGTGTCCGAACTGCGGCTTCGAGGACAACGGCAAGGCGAAGCTGGCACGCCATCAGCCCGTCTGCGCCAAGAAGTTCCGGCCGGAGTTGAACCTGGCGCCGCCCAACGACTGGGAGGCACCGGCCAAGATACCGCGCATCAAGCCACGTCATGGTCTTGTGGGCACCGCCACCGCCTATCAGGTAGGAGTGTTTGTATATCTATAATCTATCTAAAACAGCTCTTAATCGATCTAATCTCTTTTAGGCCATGGCTGCGCAGGCGGCTGCACAAAAGGCCGCTTTGGCCAACATCCAGCAACAGCAGGCGGCGGCGCAGGCCAGGAATAATCTTCAAGCTGCCGCGTTGGCCGCCCAGAATGCGGCCAAGATGCGGCAACGGGCGCCACAGCCACCCAAACAAAATATGGTGCGGAATCCGGCGCCAGTGCGCGGCGGCAACTCGATGAGCGCGGGACTGTCGCTGCCCAACAGCTACCAATTGGCTGCCGGTCAGCTTGTTCAGGTAAGCTAAAACTATGTGGCAGAGTCTATTATATTTTATTTAAATCGCTTGTAGAGTTTTGTTTTGGAAAAGCTTTTGAAAATGTTGGTATATCCAATTTTGTCTGGACGTTAGTTTTAACATATTATTTATTTAGTAAAAATAATGTTTTCATAGTAAATACTTTTTACAAGTTGACAAATTAATTCATTAACGAAAACTTTTAAGAATTTAAGTTAAAACTTAAATATTTTACATTATTTTGTTATAACTTTCAAATATTTGTATTTATATTCAAGCACTTTTTACGAAAGTCTTAATAATAAATAGTTGAATAATTTTACATTCTTATGCTTTATTCATAATCAGTTAAGTTATAAGTTTTATAAGACTCCAAAATGTGTACATAATCTAAGATTCCCCTTTGTTCCCCTCTTAAAAACCGGTTTTAATCGAATATCAATTTATTAAAGCAGGCGTCCAAGAAACCCATGGCCGGACAGCCCAGCATCTCGATAACGCCATTACCTCGACAGAGCTCTGTGGGCGCCGGAGCGGGAGCCTCGTCCAGCAAGGCGCCTCAGGCGGCCGCAGGGATGAAGCCCGGCCAGAGTCCCAGCGGCAACAACAAGGCGCAGTTCGTCATCTGCGAGATCTGCGACGGCTACATCAAGGATCTGGAGCAGCTGCGCAATCACATGCAATGGATGCACAAAGTGAAGGTACAGCTGAGTTTCCATTTCCCTCCGTTTTCCTTTGTTGCTAATACGGTTTTTTTTTTGGTTTTTAAACAGATTCATCCCAAGATGATCTACAACAGGCCGCCATTGAATTGCCAAAAGTGTCAATTCCGGTTCTTTACGGATCAGGGATTAGAGAGGCACTTGCTGGGCTCACATGGCTTGGTCACAAGCTCCATGCAGGAGGCTGCCAACAAGGGCAAGGATGCTGGTCGCTGTCCAGTCTGTGGAAGGGTGAGTTTCGCTAATAAATGGGCTCAGAATTATAGTGCTACTACCCAGTGGACCAAAACTTTGTAAGCGATATCGAAAACGATACTTAGCCGGACATATTAAACGGATAAAACAAAGTTGGATTACAAAACAATACAAAAAAGAACCATCTGTCGTCATTTTGTGGCAGCAAATGTTTCGTTTATGATAGCTTATCAGAGATAAAGTCCGTATTTGACAATAATTTAAATGGTAGTTCAATTTAAATAAGTTTTTTCTCCAATTTTCAATCCATTTCCTAACATTTTGCAAACTATCGTATGACTCTCGCTTTTTTGGGCTGCTGGGCAAAAGTATATATTCTTATCTCAATTATATATAACTTCCGCATGAGTAATTCCTAATTCCGTAAACTTTCGCCTGCAGATGTACCAATGGAAGTTGCTGAATCACGTTTCGCGCGATCACCACATGACCCTGAAGCCCGCTCACCTGTCCTACAAGTGCACCGTTTGCACGGCCACCTTCGGCATGTACAAGCAATTCGAGACGCACGTCTATACCGCCCACAGTACGGTGGCCAGGAAGGCGATGGACAGCAAGAAGAACAGCGCGCAGTCCAGCGGGTCGGGATCTGGAGCAGGGATGTCGCGCAGTTCGCTGGGAGCGGCCAATGACTCGCTGCTGAAGCCGCTTAAGATCAACGATGAGATCACCATCATACCACAGCCCGCATCGAAGCCACGCATCACAAATATGGAGAGTCATGTCATAGGTACGTGTTTTCTCAGATTGGCATTAAGGTCAAAATAATCGAAATGGATATCTTTGGAAAATTCTAAGCTTTTTTGAAATTAGAAATCATTATATTTAATTTTTAAGTGCAAGAAAAATAGTGTTAGAACTCGATCTCTTAAAATCGCATTAAAGCACTAAAGTATATAATATATAAGGTGAGATTTTATCCATATTGCACCATTACAAACAGACTTGTTTATGCGACAAGAAGCTTGGAATTTTCTTGAGATAACTATTATCTTATTTAAACAAAATGTATTTCCTATTTATAAGTATTTCCTTTTTTATCCGCAGATTAAAGAGCGTGTTCGATCAACCAAAAACCTAATCTCGCAAAGTTTGCAGCATTGACAGCGCTTTAAAATTAGTTTTGTTTTTAAGCCGAACGCGACCTTGCCGCCTCAAGGTCACGTCCATTTACTTCTGTAAGACGAATTGTATAAAGAGCATGAGTATAAACAGAAACCGAGAAGCGGATGATGATTATGAGGAGGAACGAACCCTGACTAAACTAGAATAGTAGCCCGTATTTGCTGCGGTTTAATCACCAACACACAACAGCTACAGGATACGCGATACACATAACGCTAACGGCATAGATACAACTACAGATACAGATACAAATACAGATATAGAGATACTAGTTACGGATTTTAGTTACATACGTTTTGGAGTGTGCACATAAGTTGAAGTTGTAGCTACTACTAAAATATAACACGTACATACGATATACATATATATTTAACTATATTTAAAGCATATTATGAAGAAGCCGCCAGAGCGCATCGTCAGCAAGATGACTATGTAAATTAGTTAAAAACTAAACTATTTATACGAGAACTACGACGAGTATCCAAAAATGTGTGTTGCAGTATGTATATACATTTTGAATAGGTCCCCCCGCCCACGTAAATGGCGTAATGCTACGTTTCGTTTTCTAGCTTTTTCTTTCGCGATTAGTCGATGAGGCGAAGCGAAGTGCGGTTAGCGGCTAGCGGTTAGGACTCTTCTAACAACTGATCTGAGAGAGACGTTCGACATTTTAATTTTTGTGTACAAGTTTAAACTTATATTTATATTACACATTATCTATTAATATTAAAGTATATATCATCTATTACCGCCTAAGAGTCCCCCATGTACTACAGTTATAAAGCAAAACAACCAGAACACAACACAAACAACAACTACCAACCAACCAACAAACAAACAAACTGAAAATGAGAAAATTAAAAACCTAGTTAATATAAAAATGCTAAGATAGTTGGAGGAGCTTTTCTTTCATTGCTGCTTTTTGGAGGTGGTTTCCAGACGGGCCCTCTAACTTTTGGATCCACTTCTATCATCCCGAGGTGAGAAGTGATTGGAATGCTTTTAGCATTTCGCCAGTCACATGATGACTGCGATGACCACCTCGCACCGCTTGAAGACCAGATAGCACCAGTTGGAAAAAAAGAACAGCAGAGGCCACATTTACCTACACAGAGAAAAACGATTGTCAATTGGATATTCGCAGTTAGGCAAACACGTATGATTTTTGCCATTAAATAAAGTAATATTGTTCTTAAAAAAGGCTACTTTTACGCTTTTTCTCCCCCTTCTTGCATATGAAAGTATCAAAACGAGAAGAAATTTGTTTTCTGTGTAGCACTAATGCGAAATTTATTTTTACTTTACAATAGAAAAGTGAAATTCCAACCAAGGCCTGTCCCCTCGTCCAGTCTTTTCTAGCACTGTTGGTACTTAAGTGTGTGAAGCCATAAAACTAAGTAGATCTAGAGTATACATTATTTGTAGGTTGCACTGCATCACGATGAGATTGACACCCTAATCCTCGGGTTCCGTCACCTCGTTATCGGTGGCGGGATTCACGGGCAAGGATTGGCCAATTTGCGAGGAGGGCGGAAAGAGCTGAGCCGCATGCGTGAGCTTGGCCAGGGTATCCTGATCCAGGATCTGTGGCTTATCGGCGGCACTGGTGTTCGATTTACTCAGTTGATAGAAGGCGGTATCGCTGTGCGTGATGTTCACAATTGATCCGGTGAGGGGCAAAGTCTCCAGCAACTCCTGTGGACTGCTGAACGCACCCAGATTCACGGGCGCAATGCCGGTCAACACTTGACCCGTAACGTTCGTCTGGATGGGCAGTGGGATGTTGCCCAGGTCGATGTGACTCTTGTTGCTGTGCGTGTCGTAGAAGGTCAGGTCGACGCGCTCCTGGCTCTCGAAACTGGTGTCATTCTCGCCCACCTCCGTCAGGATGCCAATTTCGTAGACCACCGCCTTGACCACATAGCTGCAAAGAGGAATTGAAACTAGTTGAAGATAGTTCTTCAATGTGGTATCAACTAAATAAACCTGTTTAACAAAAATCTATATTTTGTGTTATTATACCCAATTAACACTATTTTGTCATTGGAAAAACAACTATTTATTAAAATGCGTGCTAAAATTATTTTTATCTTTATGAGTTTCAATCTCTTTCATATTCTATGGCTTAACTTAATTTTCTAAAGCTAATTAAAGATCGACTTTGAATCTTAAAGTCATACAAATTTATAATTCCTAATTAGCGCATTATAAAATTGTTTACAAATTTATTTACTTAGTTTTTGTTCCTATTTTTGTAACTTTATTTAAGATATCTTTATTTACTTTTCAAATATGTATAAATTTTTTGATATAATATGTTGTTTTTAATACCAGAATTTATTTTTTATATTTATATATTATCAGCATAGTTTTTGTTAAGTTTTTTCTTAAATCCATTTTTTATAACTTAACTTTACACATCTTTTCAAATAAGTAAAAATATTTTAGAATAGTAAGGTATTATTAGACCAAGAAATTAAATTTTATAAAACCGGTCTATCTTTAACTTTTTCAAAGGTACAACTTTTGTAATACATCAACTAGACTTGTATGTTTGACAGCTTTTATTTAGAAAACTATTCAATTTGAAAAATTAAAAAAAGAAGCTAAATGCCTATTTATATATTTTTTTTAAGTAAAGTATATTTTAATTATGTAGATATTTGTTTTTAGTCCCAAAAATGTTCATATTAAGAAGTATATGCCTTTATTATATAACTAAAACTTGAACTTTTTAAAAAGGCCAATTTTTTAATACAATAATTTGACTTCTAAGAGTCGGCTTTGTTAAGCTTTTATGAAAAAAAGTAAATAAACTAGAATTTAATTATTTAAACTTACAGATTCTTGGGCGTATCGTTGACGCTGGCCCTCAGCTCCTCGATGGTGGCGTTGTCGATGCCCGAGCTGGCATCCAGAACGGGCAGGCCGGACCCGATGGCCAACAGCAGGCCGAGCACGGCGGCTCCAAACACAGCCTGGCGCACCTGCATCTCTGGTGGGGATTAGGCTTAGGCTTTGGGAAGGAATAGCACTGCTCTGGAATAGTGGCTCCGGTGCCTTGCCTGACTTTCGCGCGTTTAAAGGTAATTAGTGCAGATCGGAGCGCTTTTATAGCGATTCAGCGATGGAGCTTCGGCTGGCGAGGCGCGATTCCGCGTAATTATCGGCAACTGTTAATTGGCCGACAGGTTTGCCACTCTCTCAAGTCTCCAGGTCGCACAGTTTCTAGGCACCAAGTTCGACTTGGCTTCCGTTTCGATTGTTTTTCTGCGCTGAGCCACAGACTCTAATTAATTGTGCTCGTTTTAGGAGCGTGTCCCAGGGACTTGAATCCGCACTAATATTGATCCATTCGCAGGTAAACGTAGGGCTGTCTACGCAAATCTCAGCATCTTGTTGTTTACTGACACCAAAAATAAGTCCATAAACATTGCACCTCCAATGACGCATTTGCCGGGGATTATTGCATGTGGCCTGGACACGCGCCCGTCTGCCAAACTGATGTCGTTGTGAGTATCCGAGCAGCCACCACATTACGCATACGCCCCATACGGCTGACGTAGAGATGTGCTTTGACCGCAAAGTAACCAGAAAACGTTTGCATTTAGTACCTATGCAGTGAGAAAGTTATCTCCATCACATGCTAAGCGAGCTTTTGCGGACTTTAACCTCTCAATATCACTCATACGCCCGGTATGACAAGAAAATTGTATTAAACTTTTTTTGTATGAAACTAATTTTAAGAAAATTCTAACTTTCTTCTGCCTGAAAAGCGACAGCTTTTATTTATTTTGTTATTTGTCTATTAAACTTTTTTGGTTGAAACTATTAATTAAAATATAAAGTATATGTGTAAAAAAAAATTCGTTTTAAAAACAATTATCTGGCTTAATACAGTCAAACTTAATTGTGCAATGACAGATTTTTTAAAACCTGCATTACTTTTGATTAACTTTTTTGGCAAATAATATGGTGAGAAACTTTTAATAGTTAAATTGTTTAGAATATTGCTTTAATATGCAAAATAGGCAATAAATGAATAAATAAATGAATGATAAGTCTGATGAAGATAATATGAACAAAACTTAACTTAAAAGCTGAAAAAAGTGAAAGGAAATATACTTATAAATCATTGTTAAATATTTATATAAAATAATCTGTAATTTCTTAGTAATAAATTAAATTAAATAAAGTAATTGTAATACAATTTAAGCTATTCTCCCTTAAAATCTTTTACCCAAGCATAATTACAATTTATTAAAAGAAGATTTTATTTTAAATTAAAAAGGTGTATTTAACTATTTGTAATTTGTAATTTAGACTGTATTGGAAAACAGCTGACTCATAGATAGAATTAGTGTTTAAAGGTGGCGACATTTGGCACATCCCCCTTTTGAATGCCTCATAAATCAGTAATCAAATTAAAAATTGAGACTTTAGTTTTTTTATAACCCACCGGCTTTTCGAGTTATTTCGCACTAGAGTTAACCGCCTAAAGCCGCCCAATTCTCCGGCCTAACCAGCCCGATCTTGACTCTCATTCATGATCGCCCACTGCCCGGATTCTGCTATATTATTTTCTCAGCTTGCAGTCTTTCTCCTCAGTAAACGTTTTGCGGTATTTCGACATGGAGGCACATCGATTTGCAGGCACACGTTTCTTCAACAACTTTTCACCCTTTTGTCTCAGCGGAAATTTTTCGAAATAAATTTGCACACTTTGCATATCAACTTTGTGCCCCGGTGATCTCATGGCAACCGCTCTAATTATGAAGTGTTAAAGAGGCGTAATTGTGATTCCTCCAAAGTGCAGTCATCCGTGAAATGCAGAAGCAACTCATAAATATATATACAATATCCCATATTCCACCGACTGTTTTGGCCTTTCAAAGTCTCCAGACTCTTCTTGTTTTTATTTTGATCGGCTTCTTGGAATTAAATTTGTCGTTTGATTTAGTAAATATATGCTAATTTCTTCAATTAAGACAATCAACTTGGATTCAACAGCGACGCTTTCAGCTGTCTGTTTTTGAAAAACTCCTGGGTCATAGTCATATAGCATATTTTACGCTCTCCAATTTATAAATCCTTGGTATATATTTAAATTGTTGACTAACTGTGCTGAATTCGCTGCCACGTGAAGGCCTTAAATATTATCATTAATTTGTTTATTTGGGTTTGAATATTAAACGGCAAAGAAGATGTTCTAACGTCAGAGAAGTGATTTCGATTGTAAGCTGGTAATTAAATGTCGCAGCGGAAGTGGAATTTTTTTTTGAAAATAATAATAGTACGTAGTAAAAATTCAAGTCTTTCTATCTCACTTAAAAAATATGTAAATTTATTTCAGATCCCGAATTCCCCTTTTTTGTTAACTTCTTTTTTGGCAGTGTCATAAGTTTGGAGTTGGCCAACAAACAGAACACGATGGAATAAAAAATAGAATAAGTTTGGGCCCAAACTTCGAGGGAGCAGCACGCGCAGGCACCAAAACAAGTTCGACAAACCAAGCGATTTTTAAGTGCTAACTGAACGTAATTACAAAGCTTAAACCGCACAACTTTCGATCGGCGGTTCGGCTGGCGCCGGGAAAACTTTAAAAAGTCGCCGGCTACGGGGCCCTAAACTTATTTCCGATCTGAGCTTGGAGCTGAACACAACCCAAAATCTACACGGATCCAATCAGCAGTAGCAGTGGCCATGAAGTGCACTTTGCTAACCACCGTAAGTAGAGATCTTTCAAGAAATTTTAAATGGTATTTTATATTATAATAAGAAAATAATCAAAACATTCTACCTTAATTGATCTTACAACTGCAAAGATTTTGAATTATAAAAAAATATTCGAAGTCATAAAACTGAATGATTCTGATTATTTTTTTGATAAGCCACTTGAAAAGCCAAACTATATTTTTAATATATATTTTTTTTAATCATATTATAGCTTAACATTCTTAGTTTGAGTCTTGCTACCTTTAATTTAGTTAACTATTTTTTCCGATATTTTTGAACCAATAATTGTAAATAAGATTTAAAGTTATAGCTTTGTTACATACTTTATTAAATTGTGAAATAATGTTGATAATGCTTTCTTTTAGTTGCTGGCAACCCTGGCGGTTTCCTCCTTGGCCGCCCCCTTCGATTTGGGTGACCTCTTCACGGGCTTCCAGCCGCTGGAGAAACAGGAAGTGGTGAAGCGGCAGGTGCAGGCCAATCCCGATGCCGAGCTGAAGCAAATCTCGTTCCACGGGCTGATCGGAGATCTGGAGGACAGTCTGTTCCAGTCGGCGTTGAGTCTCCATTCGGCCAGTGCCCCGGGCAGCGAGGTGGAGGAGGTCAAACCCGAATCCCCGGCTCGGATCACAGATGAGGATGCAGAGGAGCACGCACTGACCAAGCGGTCGGATGAGTCCACACCAGCTGCTACCACAGAGGCCGCTTCGCCATCGACCGACGATGGCCTGGCCCGCAAAATCCTGCTGCAGACCACCAGGAAAGTGCCAAACAGTGAGGATAGTGGGCCCGCCCACCTGATCATCGACCATGTCTCGGTGCAGCCACACAACGGTGGTGCCCTGCCACTGATTCCCACCTTCCAGGTGCACCACACCAAGCTAATCTCGGCCACCATCAAGGAGGATACCAACAACGATGGCAACCCCGATGGCAAGCAGACCAAGATTAGCATTACCAAGACCTCGATTACGTCCACGGCTCCAATTGAAAGTGTGGAGGAGGCGGTGGCCATAGCAGCGACCGCTTCGGAAGCGCCTTCTGCCAAGCTGGAGACCACCACTAGGGCGGCGGAAAAGGAGCAGGCGGACAAGGGCACCACTATCTTGACCATTGTGAGCAGTGCCACTCCAAGCACCACCACTTCCAGCACCACCACTTCCAGCACCACCACTTCCACCTCGACTTCCACCACCGAGGAACCCATTCAGAAGCTAAAGAAGGACGAGGAGAAGCTGAAGGAGAAGGTGGCCGAGGTGGAGGCCGATCCCGTCATCCTCTCGGCTCGCGTTTAATGCAAGTCCGACCCCTGTGACCCCACTAGTTGTAGCCCATCTTCGCCCCTCATCTTCAACCGCCTTAAACCCCCTCCCCGTCCCCTCTACTCACATATTTATGACACGCCAAGTTCAATTAAAGTCATGTGATCCGATCCGAGAGGCCTCTTTATTTGCATTTCCAATTCACACGACTGGGGAACCGGGGATCTCTGCCAAATTCGAGGCTCTAATTGCTTGGATAAACACAGGCCTTAATGAAGCCAGCGGTTCAGCCGGGCATGAACGATTCACTAGAAACCCGAAAAACCTTCCCAGAATCTCCGGCGGGAAAAACCTCACGTCAATATGCAAATAGTTCTGTGAACAGCAAAAATGAGTACACTACTAAAATTCAAAATTTTCGCTTTGATTTTTAAATATTTAATTTAATGTCTAAAATATTAAATTTGAAAAATTAGTTTTTGTATTTAAAGAGTTAGAAAGATAAGAAATCCAAATGCATAAAATATATACAATATTTTCCAAGTCAACTTAAATATTTTAATACTAAATCTTTCAATCATAACATGGTTTGCATTAAATATTATAAATTTATATTTTATTCAAATATGAAATATGAAATTTTCAACACAACAGCATGATATTTTTTTACTTTCCCATTTTTATCAGTGTATCTGTTCTCACAAAGCGTGTTGCAAATTTGGTATTCAATTGGGTTAATTAAACATTGCCAAAAATGCCGTCGAATTGAACTATCCCATCGATGTGTTTATATATGGCCAAAAGTGTTAATCAGCTCCATTGCACGATGACCAATATCATTAGTCAACAAATTGCAAGCCAATTGTTTACTCTTTGATTATAAAACTGTGGTGAAAGCGGAATGAGGTTTTATTTGGTTTTGATAAAGTTCACTTCCTAAACAACACTTTATTGCTAATACTCGTATTTCCCAAACCAAAGAACCTATGAGAATTGGGAATTATATTTTCTAGATTATAATTCTAAATCAATTTTTTTATTATTTAGGCTTATAGCTTGGGTAATCTTACTCAGATATTGTTAAAACATAATTATATGTATAAATTATTAAAATATTTTGAGGCGTGAATATATTTTCCTTATAAAGTTTATTGGTATTCCGTAGTCTTCGAACTATAAATCAATTGATTGCATGTTGTTTGGCCATTTATGAAGAAAGCGGAAAAGGTTTTTATTAGTCTTTGGTTTTTTTAGACTTCTAAAATAAAACTGATTAAATATTTAAGTAACACAAAGCTCAGTTGTGGTCGTGAAAGTAAATCTAAACTTTTGCATACTTTTATTTATAATTTTTAGCCACCTCTTTCGAGCACGTAATTTTCAATTTGATAAACAAAAGTTTATGGCTATTTCAGTTACACCCTAGAAGTCATAAATATATAGTAGTTGGATCAATAATATTTTAAGGTGTGAATTAAGTTTGGGGGGTAATTTTGTATTAATCAGTGGCAGAATGTACAAAAAACAATTACCGTGGCTTGTAAACATTTTTAGGTGCTTTCATGGGTGTGTTATGAATCAGCAGCGATAAAGAAATCCCCTGTACCCACACTCAATCACTTACAACTTATAAAGATGATAGCTTTGAGTACACGAGTTGAAATAGCTGAGAGTCCAAATATTGAGTATACGCAACGTGAGCGAGATAATTGATAAGTCAGTCAAGTCACATTGCGTTCTGATAAACTCGCACATCAGCTGTGAGTTTAAATTTAGTTCCTGCTAACTGTCGTGTACTTTTATTTATTTATTTTCCACCTGGGGGCAGGTTCGCCTATATTTGCTCATATGTATCGTTCTATATCTATGTTGTCCCAATGATAAAGCTGAAAAACGCTCTCGTTGATAAGGCATTCAATTTGTATTACAAAATCAGCAAAATATTTGCACTTATGCTTATTGTGCAACTGGTATTTGATAGCAGGTGTAACCCTTAAAATTTCATTAGGTTTATCTTATCGCTATGAAAAACAAAAAAGAGAGCGAAGTGTGGAGCGTTTTGGGTGGCCATTCGATGGTAGAGCTCAGTCCAAAGGAGGCATCCGGCGAATGCGTTTCGCCTTCCATAATTTCGAACTTCGAATAAACCGCGAATTGAGTTCCATCGGTGAGATAACAATTGGTGATTGTGTTTCTGTTGTTTATGGCCAACACTGCGTATACTTTATTGAAGTGTCGACAGTGTAATTTCCTCCGCTGATTCATCCAATCGAGGAGTTAAGACAATTGTCCTCAAGTGAAGCGCCAAGAAAATAGCCCACAAATGATTGAGCTATCCTGATTATATATGCAAAATCCCCCAGAAAAACTAATCAAGCTGATTAGATATCTCTCGCCGAATTGTAATTTCAAATTGAATTTATAGCCCCAAAGTGTGCGCTGTCTTATCGAGCAGGCAATTGGCTGGCCCAGCGATCACAGGTTGCACAACCCCCAACAAATTAGCCGGAATTCCAAATATCCCCGCCGAAGGAACACCATATCATCAAGATGGCGGGCTTGGGCACTGGCTTTTCCAAGTGCTTCATACTCTTCATGGCGATTGTCATACTCGTAAGTACCATAAAGATTATTCCGGGGTTAGTCACTGTATTTAATAATCATTAACATGTTATCTAGGCCCAGGGAGTCGTGTATTTGGGCTTGTCTATCTGGGGCATCACCTTCCGGGAATGTCCGGATGGGGTTACTGACTTCAGCGAAAATCCCTTCAAGTATGCTATGGAACTGATTTATTTTACAGGTGAGTAGCATTGGTTTAGTTTCTAAGGTGCCAAAGTATGATAAAATTCAAGGTCATCAAGAAATTAGTTTCGGTTTGACCTGTGCCATTTGGATTATGTTGACTTGAAATACCTAATTACATACATAATCAAAAGTAAAATCTCAAAGAGTAGTATTAACAGAACTATGAATGTTAAAAAACCAAATTCTAATTTTTAAACAGGATCAAAATTGGCATAATGTATTATCTTCTGTTATACTATAGATAATAATAAGTAGCCTAATTTAAAGCGAAAATTCAAAATCCCAGTTCTAGTTCTTATATCAAGAGTAAAATCGACATAAGTGAGAAAATATGTAGTAACCATTAAAAAAACAAGGGAGTACAAATAAAATTTAAAACTGTACTAATATTTAAAGTGAAATCTTAAAATATTATTTATAATAAAACAAATTCTTTTTATTTATAACAAAAGTAAAGACAACAAAATTAACAAAAATTCTCCATCAAACAAATTTAGTTACACATTTCAAATTTAAAACTTTTAAATTGAACATTAACCGAAACTAGATGCTTAATTCTAAAGTAGTTCTTAAAGTAAGAAACTAAAACAAAAAAAACCTTAGATTACAAAATTTACCTTTTATAAAGAAGCATTACAAACTTTAAATAACATAATAAACATTTTCCTAACAGAAAAGGAATGTGGTGATCCGGTGCTGAAGGTAAACGATGTGCATGTTGATTTGTCCATCGATTGGAAAAAGTCATATGCCGTGACCAACAGGGAATTCATTTTCATGATAACCTATGCGGTGGTTAGTGGCCTTTGGGTAGCCACTTCTGTATTGATCATAAGTAAGTGTCTTAAAAAAGGATATTTGTCTTAAATTTGGATATTAACTGAAAACACATTGCAGCCACCTTGTGCAATCGCACCACCAAGCTGATCTCGGGCGCAATCTATTGGCCCTGGTTTCTGTCCGTTCTCGCAGGCTCTATCCTCGATGTGGTGGCCTCAGTGTATCATGGACTCGACTTAAGCCATACTATGGTGGGAAAATCAGTGCTTTTCCATGATGTATAAACTATAGTTCTTACTTTTTTTAGTCCATGCAAGACGCGTTTGATTACATCGGAATAACGTATGACCCTACCAATGCAATTTGGGTCTTGATGGAGCCTTTCGGTGTCTACTTTTCGACGCCTTCGCTTGTGTTGCTGTTATTGACCACCCGAGTGGGTATCATCTGGCTGCTGAACATCATTGGAGCTAGTTTCTGTCTGTCCCTGTCGGGCATAATGGCTCAGCAGAATGCGGCCAAGTCCGCTGTGAGCAGGAGTCAGGCTCCCACTCGCCAAGCGACGCCACAACCTGTGCCTGCTTTGGTGCAACCGGTGGTGGAGGCCACTCTCGTGGAGGCCATCGAGCCCTCGGCTCCGCTGGACAGCCCTCAGTATCCGGAGCAGATTCGCCCCAAGCCGCTGCCCATTTTCATTCCCACGGAGCAGAGTGCGCAGCAGTATTCTCCCGGAGATCGCACCACTTTGCAGTCGCCGGTGATGGTGCTGCCACCGCAAGGGTCGCAGCAAAGGGATGTGGTCTCCCCGCAGCCCGATATCAATACCTATCGCCACACCGAGGCTCATCCGGATCGCCTCAACTATCCGCCATCGGAGCCACCAACGCCACGAGCTCCTTCGCCGGCTGTCCAACAATTGGCCGTGACCTCGCCACTCAACAATCGCTACAGCGAGATGTATCCCGCTCCAGTTAATCCACGTGTCAGCGAGGAGCTGCGCAACCAGATGCCTTGGTCTTACACCAGCATGGTGACCAAACCTCCACCGCCGCCACGCAAGCCGCAACTGCAGGTGCAGATCTATCCGCAGATCCCCGAACCCGACTATGCGGATCACTAGTCGATGAAATGTATGTGGTGGAGGAGCAGCTCGGACCTGATTTGGCTTTAATCAGATGCCTGGATGCGCGGTTGTGAAATGTTTTGTGTTATTGTTGACTTTATTGCATAAAGCTAAAGCTGATGGCCAACTTAAATACTTTTACTTTCTTTTTGTCTTTAGTAGGTTCTTTTTGTGGCGCCCATGGGTTTGGGGGCTTCATCAATGTCTAATACACATTAGTCGTCTATAGTGTTAATGTTAACTTTATTACATAAAGCTAAAGCTTATACTTTCTTCTTTGTCTTGGTGAAAACTACCATTTAGTATGTTCTTTTGGTGCCACCACTAGCATCATTAATGTCAAGTTCAAGCTAATGTTGTTGGCCAGCTGATTGACTTATATATTCTTCTTTATCTTGTAGAAAACTACAATTTAGTAGATTCTTTTTGTGCTGGCTATGTTCGGCGACCAGTTTCAAAGCTTCATTAATGTCCAGTTCAAGTTTTTCACCCTTACTGAGATGCACTTCCAGCAGGGGGGAGTCCTGTTGAGCAGCCTTTGCCCCCACTACAATGGTGAGTGGATGACCCAAACGCTTGGCCTCCAGCAAACGTTTGCCTATGGTCAGTTCCTTGCGATCGTCATGCAGCAGCTCCTGGTGGCCACAAAGTTTTCCTACTTTTGAGAGAAGCTCGTTTTCTATCAACTCCGCTGCGGACTGCTCTTTGCTGCCCTGCTTGGGTCCTATTAAACACACATCGTAGGGCGCTAGGAGGCATGGCCAATAGAGTTCTTGTTCCGAGGAGAGCACCTCCAGAGCAGCAGCTATAACCCTGGTGATGCCTATGCCATAGCAGCCCATAACAAGGGATTGTGGCTTGCCAGAGGTGTTCAGAAAGGTGGCGCCCAAGGGCTTAGAATACTTGTCTCCCAACACGAAAGTGTGCGCCACCTCAACTCCTCGTACTTCCTTTAAATCTGAGCCTTTGCAACTTGGACAGGAAACTGGTGACTCCGGTTTCACATCCAGGACTTCAGAGTTGCCAGCAAAGCCGCAGGAGCTGCACTGCAGCAGAGTGTCCTCGCCCACGGGCGAAATGTAGTGATACTCGTGGGACACACTGCCACCCATCATTCCCGTGGCAGCATTTACTAGAAATATTTGAAGATTATTTTTGTTTATTACAAACTTTAAAGGGTTACCCCCACTTATTATAGACATACCTTTGACAAAGGGAACCTCGAGCTGCTTAAACAGTCTATCATAGGCAGCACTAACTATGGCATATGTTTCCCCAGCCTTTTCCTCGGAGACATCAAAGGAGTACATGTCCTTCATGAGGAATTCCTTGGCACGCATCAAGCCAAATCGTGTTTTCAGCTCATCCCGAAACTTGGGACCGATTTGGTAGAGCCTCAAGGGCAGCTGTCGATAGGAAATGGGTGATGTGGTGGCCAGCATGGCAGTCACTGCCTCCTCGTGGGTCTAAACATGAAGAGAAAGGTCAAAATTTGAACCGAAAATGGGATCATCCAGCCACTCACTCACTGGACTCATGAGGAACTGTTTGCCACTGCGATCCCGCACCATGTAGAACTCCGAGATGTCCCCATCGAGTCGTCCTGTCTTTTTCCAAAGATTTGTGGGCGTTAAAATGGGCAGGGTGATCTTCTGACCTCCAGCCAGTTGCATGTTGCTTTGAACGAGGTCAACGAGCTTGTCCACCGACCTTTGAGCCATGGGCATTATCTGATAGGTGCCATTACTGCCCGATTTTACCAATCCTAATTCAGTCAGGAGCTGGAATATTTATAAAATTGGGCAGTGGTAAAATAACTTATTTCGTAACACCTGGAATTTTACCTTTTGGCTGCGAGACAGTTGCTCCGTTTGCTTGACCACCGCATTTTTGGGTGTAATTAGAGCCGGGCAAAAAAGTCGCGAAGCTTTATTCATCTCTTCATTTAGTTTTTTGCTTAATTTAGTAGTATCTTATTAAAAACGCCGGTAAATAACGTGCAAAACAATAAACGCAAATGGTCAGAGTGACCGCAGTTGGTAAGGGAAAAATACCGGAAAATTCTGCTTGATTGAAATTTCAATGCACTGAACAAAATCTAGAGTCATATGACTAGTCACTAGTGCATATATAATTTATTAGTAAATATACTTGTTGCGCTATGAAAAAATAAAGTTAAATTCAAAACTGAAATATAATTTTATGAAATAAGGCATGTTGTATTACAGAAAATAGTTATTTAAATCCAAACAATACTTTTTAGCTAATTAAAAAAAAATTGGCCATGTATATAGATTATTCGTATAACGCTTTCCTGTGTAATTAAACGTTCCAATACCTAATTTTAAAATATGTATTTATTAAAATGTGTTTTGTATATGTTAAATGATACGCAGCTCACGACACTCTCCCATCACTATCTCGAGTTCCATCGCTAGCCGGTTTCCGACCCTTTCCAACACTAGTACCTTGCGAATAATATCTTGCAATTTGCTTCATCATGAATTCGAGCTTTCAGGACCTGTACAAAAAGGGCCTGGACGTGGGTGAGCAGCAAAAGCAGCGGCAAAAGGATCTTCTTAACCAACAGAAGCTGCGACGCCAGCAGGAGCAGGATGATGGCCGGCCACTGAAAAAAACCGATGGTGGGAAAACACAGGCCAAGAAGAGGAACAGGAAACGTGGTGGCCACCACCAAAAGGGAATCCCCTGGAGACCACAGCTTTCCGAGTGGTTGCGCCACAAGCCCGAGGATCTCGGTGAGCAATGGCTCCTCGTTCCCTGTCCCGTGGGCAAAAGATGCCTCGTGGTGGCCGCCAAGGGGATCACAAAAGTGTATTCCAAATCCGGCTGGATGTTTATGGAGTTTCGATCTTCTTTGCCCGGCGATTGGCAGCTCCAAAAGAGTCAAACAATCCTGGACTGCGTCTATGTGGAGGATGCGGACACCTTCTATGTCCTGGATGCCATCTCCTTTGGCCAGCAGAATCTGCAGGATTGCGAGGCCTCCTTTCGTTTCTATTGGCTGCGTGCTCGCTTCGAGGAGAATGATTTTGCCCGGCTTGACGAGCACAATGAGAAGGCATTTGTACTCCTCGATCACTATGACTTCGAGGACACCTCTGCTGTGGAGCAGGTCCTGCAGAAGTATCCCATTTTCCCGGATAACAAGCCACCCTTGGATGGTTTCCTCTTCTACCACAAAGAGGCTAGCTATGTGTGCCGGGTCACACCTTTGGTTTGCTGGCTATTCCCCTTTATGATGCAGGATGTGCTGGGATGGCCTGTAAGTTCTAGTTACACAGCACCAGAGGATTATCAGCCTGGTCAGGCTTTGCACTACATGGATGAGTTTGACCGCAGGCTGGAAGAGCAAAGAAAACAATTTAAGGAGCAGAAAAGGGCAGGCAAAGTCAGGGAGCAGCAAAGCAATAAAATGGAGGCAGAGGAGGAGCAAGCCGAAAGCGATGAGTTTGCCAGCCTGAAAGGAGTCCTCGATCAGCAGCGGCGTCTGGAGCTGGGGGAATTAGACATGGACTGTGCCGAGCCGCCAACAGCTGATGTCTGCTAGGCCAAGTGGACTGGGAAATGGGGAGGCTTTTCCGGCGCAGGCGCCGTGAAAACGCGGCCCTGGACAAAACGGCCTCAGCTCGCGCCCAGGAAAACCAGCCCAGATTGCGGCCAGACTTATAAGCAGCAAACAAAACTTAATTAAAATTCTTCGAAATGGTAATTCAGCGAAGTTGGAAAATACCCACCGATATGGGGGGTTCCCTAAACAGCAGCAACACCACATTAGCAAACGAAACGCAGCAGCAGCAGCAGCGTTCCTCTCCAGGCATGCAACTGCAGGCAGCCAACTCCTCCTCAGATGACTCCGACTGCTCCAATCAAACCACCCATTCGATGGACACGCGCGTGGCCAGTCCAGTGGAGCAAGTGAGAAAGCAGGCGGAGAAGGATGCGGCGGCTGCAGAATCCAACACCATTACCTTGTCGCTTTTAGGCGAGTCCACATCCTCGGATGCGGAAACCTCACAGGTTGTTTAATTAGTTTATTTATCCATGTGTGTAACTAATTTGTTGCCTTTCAGAAGTATGTAACCACTCCTGAAATGGCGGAAAACATGTTGCAACGCATTCGCCAGCGACTTGGAGGCTCACACAACATGGAAAGTGGCGGCAGTGCCGAGTCCGCCATGAGAGCTCTTGAACTTCTGAGGATAAGTGTGCAGCAAGCCTTCGATGCGGAGGTCAATGAGATAATCAAACGTTATATGCAAGTGGGTTAAAGTCTGCTTTTTAAACTGTATATTTTTTTATATATTATTCGATATTCTCATTTAAACTAGAACTACTTTAAGCCCGCCTTTGGCAACATCAAGGAGAATCTCGGTCAGCATTCAGTGAATGAGGAAACCTTGCAAAAGATGTCCTCGTGTGCTTTGCTGGAGAACGCCAAGGCTCAGTACACGAACTTTGTGCGCCAGCATCGTTTGGTGCCTGCTGGTGGAGTTACAGAGCAGCAGCGTTTGTGCCTCAAACGCACAGCTAAGCAGGAGATTAACACAAACAACAAAGTGATTGCAGTGGCCAGCAAACCGATGCCATGCACAGCGACCACAGTCAACCAGTTGCCAACTCAGAATCAACAACCTGCTGCTCAGATTTTGCCAATTCAACAACAGCCGGAGTTGCAAACTGTTCAGCCGCTGCAGCAGCAGCAGGAACCAAATCAGGCACAAAATCAGCAGCAGCAGCAACAGCAGCAGCAGCACCGCTCCACGGTTACACCGCTGGTGGGTGGCACTCTGCCCACGCCTGTGCGCCGCCAGATATTCTGGAACACTGCACAGATCTCGACCAGCACCAAGTTCGTGCTGGATGTGCAGGCCAACCTGGCCTTTGGCTTTGGCACCGACGGCAAGGAGCGTTTGGCCAGCAAGCATCCGGAATTGATACGATATCTGCCGGATGGGGAGGACCGGGAATGGCTGGCCACTCGCGGAATTATTCCCGCCGAGAATCGCAGCTCGCGGTTCTTGTTTCTCATCTACGATGAAGTTTGTCGGCTGCAGCAAACCCACGAGCTGTATCGCCACAAAACCAACATTGATCTCAGCATGATGCTTACGTTTAGTGTCACCGATGCCATGATACACAAGATGCGGCTGTTCTTCGTGGATCTGAATATCAAGAGTCGCGGGCTCATAACCAACTCGTATATTATGCCCAGCCAGCAGCAGCAGCAGCAGCAGCAGCAATCGGGTAATGCCAACAATAGTCATCTGCGGAATGCTTTGCTTCAGGGCGCTTCAGCTCAGCAACAGCAGCAGCAGCAGCAGCAGCAGCAACAACAGATAGCTACGCCACCGGCTGAGGAAATAGTGTTAAAGGAACTGCCAGCTGCGTCGCCCACTCCTTGTTTGCAGGGTCAGGTGGTGGGCAGCACCACAACGCCGCTGAAGAATAAGCTGGCGGCCAGTTCCACGCTCAGTTCCTCGCATGCCACACTCACAGCGCTACTGAACAACGGAGGCGCCGTTGTGGGAACCGTTCCTCCGGGAAATTCCACTCCCAGCAACATAGGAAAATTTAGAAACTAAGACCAGTCAATTAGGTATGTTGATTATGATTTTTATACCTACTAGATTCTTACTGAAACTGGTGTATATTCAAATCTCAAACATTTTTAATACACTTTTTTCTCTTTATTTTCTAAAGAAAGCTTAACTAAGGTATACATTCATAAATCATCGAAGCTTAATTGTCAAAGCCAGAAAAATGTAGAACTGTTTGATTTTCTGATTTTTTTTAGAATATTTAAATGTCAATCGCTGGAGCAACTTTTAAATTGTTTAATTTTTCTTAAAACGTTGTAAAAATGAATACGATTTGCCAAAACTGTAAAACATTTTCTAAGTTAGTTGTAGGTTTTGTTTTTTACCCACTTAAAATGCTGTCTTATATATTTTTTAATTTAACAACTTGTTTGGAACACTTTTGTTTCTGTAATTAATAAATAAAGAAGTTGAAAACTGTATAAAATTTTCTACTTGTTAGTAAAGTGCTTTAACACATAAATTTAAATTTACAAAATTCTCAATTATTTTTAAAGATTTTGAACTTAAGGAGTACATTAATAAATGATAGAGGTTTAAAAGTCAATTTCTATACGAGAATAATGAGTTTGCCAATTTTCAGATATTATTTAAATGTTTTTAAAAATGAATAAAGTTTGGAGAAATTGTAAAACATTTCCAACCTTAACCCACCCAAAAAACCAGACAATTCCAAATAAATATTTGATGTTTATTGAAACTCAATTTGATATACATATAATGTGGGTCTCTTTTGGTTTTTCTACAGTTATTTTAAATATATTAATATATAATATATATAATATGTACGTTCATATTCATATAGTTCACATCAGTGTATATTGTTTTACATAGTGTACGCAGGTAATGGCTAATTAATATTTTAACAAACAGTAGATTTGTGTTCTTATAAGCCTTGCTACAGCCCACTCGGCACTTTTAAAGCGCAATCCTCCCCAGATTTCTGGCCAACGCTACACGCTGATATGGTGTTATTTTTACAGTATTCAAAGTACTCGATACCCAACTCTCGGCCAAGTACAAATACAATAGGTAATAGTAGTCGTGGTATTAGAGTTAAGTAGAAAAGACCAAAAGTACCTAAGAAGATATAGATATATAATGTAGCTCCATCAACGCGTTAAACATTAGTGAGTAAGTTTTTAATTTTGAGATAGCACAACCATTATAGTTTTCGTTACCCAACTAGGTATATAAAACAACAGCCAGATTGTGAAGAGTGTAATTAGCCAACCGAGGAAACAGGAATATCTTTGTGTGTTCCACTTTTACCCTGACTACCTTGACAACTACCAAGTACTTACAAGATACAACAATGGATTATCTGGTACTAAGTAATTTCTCTTTGGGTTTTCTCTTTTTTTTTAAAGCAACATCTAACAATAAGAAAAGCCCGCAGCTACCCTTGAAAAAGATACTATATAGAGTATAGTTGCTGTTGCGGTTAAAGAGTCGTTAAGTTTCCACACAAGAAATGGTTTCGAGCTTAAGGACTTTTTTTGTTGTGGTAAAAGTATTTTTAGGACAGTAAAAGTTCCACAATCTCTCTGCAGCTTAAATACTCTAGTTAATACGACTCAAGTGTAAGCGTTGTATAAATAAATCTATATGTGTTTGTAACTTTAGTTTGAAACTCCTAGTCGTTAGGCTGAACTTTGATATAGTATATAAGATATTAGATATTAGATTTATACACAAGTTCCGAAAATGTAAATTTTTCACTGTTTTCATACACGAGATTGTCCTGATTTTGTGTGGCTGCTGAAAGCGTCTTGGAGAGTTTTGAAAAGCGGGAGGGAAATGGGAAAAATAGGAAGAAAATGACTACAGTAAATTCGTCTTAATCACGCTTTAATCGCACTCAATTCTCACGTCCACACAGTAGCACACACCCATTAAGATTGTCAATATAAACTAGATTTTCAGATTTTTTAAATTTTGGGTTAAACATTGTCTTTCTTTCGTTCGATTTTCAGAGTTATAAATTTTGGGTTCAATTCAGTTAGATTGTTAGGGCTTTAGATTTTTAGGATGTTTAAATGTATTATTACTTTTTTATTCAAATTTTTAGATAATTAGATTGTTAGAGTTTCAGAATTATAGGACCTTCAGTTTTTGACATTCAGATTTCGTGTTTGAGAAGCAGTTGAAACCTTTTGCGGGGTTCTCAGCTGTACAGATAGTTGGGGCTATCCTATTTGGTTTTGTTTTTATTTTGCGCAACATTTATTTAACACTTATTCGGATAATATGTCTTTCTTTTTTAGCTAGCAAGCGCTTTAAATCCCTCTCTTCGTTGCCTCGAAATTTCAACATTATTGTTTTGGTGCCAGTTTCGTTTAGTTTCCATTCCTATCCACTCTTTAAACTTTATTGCCATTCAAATGCGAACAACATTAAACTTTCACAAACACAACAAGCGAAAAATATATTAGCGTGTGTACTGTATATATATATGCTTTTGTGGTACTCCGATTCCTCAATTATTGTGCTGTCTGAATTTGGTATTCCCCGTTTTTAGTGCTGCCTTACCTGTGTACCTTACTTACAAAGCTCTCTCACCACGAATTTATAAGTTATATATTTAGTAGTGTAACATAACCCGACCGATTCAAGCTCATTTAACTAAAAACTAATACATACAGAGAGTATCTCGGGATAACAATATATATATAAATGGTGTGGTATGGTTTCCACATCTTAGGCGCTAACAAATTGAGCTTGCAGTGGCTGTATCTCCAGTTCCTGGGAATTCCAAATCCGGCACTGCCTGTGAATTGGCATGACTTCCTGGTTGTTCGGTCAGGGAGAGTTGTCCGAGTCGGAGCCGCCGTAGCTGTGCATCGGGAAGAGGGGATACCAGCCGTTGATGGGCTGCCCGATGCTCACCTTGTCCAGGTTCACCTCCGTGCCGCCCAATCCCTGGTTGTGCTCGAAGCCCACGCACCGCTGCCACACCATGATCACGATGTTCCGGCCAAAGACATCCGAGCTCTGCATTTGCATGGGAAATTCGTTATCGCTATCGCTATCGTTATTCGCCGTTCGCTTGGGTAATTACATGGCCAACAATAAAATTATGAAGCGTGCCCAACGGGGCGCATCCATCTGCGACAAGTTAACCCTCTCTATGCCAACGGGTTTGATATCTTACGATGACTAATAAAAACTTAAAACTTAAAACTCAAAACATTTTATAAAATATTTGGCAAACAGAAGGTAAAAAAAAATTTTAAAATAAATCTAAATATGTTTTCCAACAAAAAAAGGATTTTTTGATAATTTTAGTAATTTTAGTGTTTTGAAAAGATATTTGTATAAAAAAAATTTATAATTATTTATAAATCTATCGAATTTGTAAATCTCGGTGATACTAAACGGGCTTGGTCCGAAAGGGATCCAAAAATTATTTATTTTTAATTAGATTTGTTAAACCATCAATCAATATTTTAGATTTAAAATAAACATATATATTTGCCATCTATAAAATTACGTGAACCGATAATCAAATTTTTAGATCGCAAATTGTGAATTAAAATTTTTAATCTTTAAATTTAAACTTATTAAAATTGAATTTTGTTTAATAATAATTTAAGTTTTCTGGGGTTTAGTTTGAGTTTGCTTTGATTAATTTATATTTAAAATTATATGTTTTGCGGTGGTACTACTACTGCTTGGTGCAGAAGGGATTTAAAATGTCTCGTAGTTTCTGTGGCTACCCTGATATTAATTATATAATTATTTTATTTATATATATTTTTTTTTAATAAACGGGATATTGGCATACAGAGGGTTAAGTCTGGGCCAGCAGTCAGCTACCCGCTGGGCGCTGAAATTGGCCTCGTCGATGCGGGCCAGCACCAGCAGCCATTAATCGCATTACAATGCAGGCGGCAGGTAATAACATCCTGACGTGGCCATGGTCAGCATCATGGTTTCATAGTATCATCGTCATTCCCACCATCATCATCATCATCGTCGCCACCTGCCGGGCGGCACAACAATGGGCCATTTTTACTCACCTGGTATTTAATGGTCTGGCGGTAGTGAGGCTCCGCCGCATGGCGCACCACACGCGTCTTCTTCTTGTGGCGCAGTCGGTCGCCGTCCTTGATGTAACACTTCACGTACGTATCCGGCGGAGTTTCGCAGTCCTCGTTGACAATATTACGGGCGCAGATTAGCTGAAAACGAGGTGCAGTAAAGGAGGCAATAAAATATGGATGTATTATATGATGGCATGTTCTGGGTAGTCCCTTAGCCAGAAAGCCACTGCTCATAACAGCCGGATTCCCATTTCGATACCTTGCTTATGTCAAGTCCACCATTTATTTTTAAAAAATGCATTTAAAAGCAGGCACAAAAGATTTGACATTGCCAGTTTTGTTGTTAAGTCCTTTTAAGCCTTCTTAAGTTACCAATCTATTTACTAATATTTTCATTGTAAGAAAAATTAAGGACTGAAAATGGTGATTGGCTGCAGACCTTTTGTTCAAAACTTAGCCTTGACCTTTAAATAACCTTTTTTAAATAATATACCATTAAAGCTTGCATGATTAGTTCTTTACTTATTTGCATTAAATACTGGGTTTCTATTCCAGATAAATTTTTGGAATCTTTCTAAAATATCTCAAATGAAAGTTTATGTTTTAATTATTTATAAATATGTGCTTAAAACTATTAAATTATATTTTAAAGCAGACACAAAAGTTACAAATTTGTATGGTTTATGGTATAATTCTTTATTAATCTGTTCTCCACATTTTTTAGTATTGCCTCCATTTATTTATATATTTATATTTATTATATTTTTTCAATCCAAACTGAGAAACTGACGAATCCCTATTTATTTTTAAAGTATGGCCAACTACTTACCTCCACCTCCACATTGCCCTTGATCTTGACGAATCCCATCTTGAGTTCGCCGTACCGCGCGGTGGTCAGCCTGTAGCCCTTGGGATGGATCTGCGAGGGGCCCAGTTTGAGTCCATAGCTGGACTCACCACCCGTCAAGGCGGGCATGTTGACATAGCTGCCGCTCAAGGTTTTCACCACGCTCTGTTTCCGCTGCGGACTGTCTCCGCCGGCGTTGTCCACACCCAAACCCACTCCGCTCCTCTGGTAAACACTTCCCTTCCGGGTGGGCGTGCCCAGAGGTGGGGTTTCCGTGACCTTGGCCACATACATGCTGCCCTTCCTCTGCAAAGTGGTGGTGGTGGTGGTGGTGGTGCTCGTTGGACTTGGAGTCTGGCTGTCGCCCAACTGGAACATGCTGCTCTTCCGCTGCTGCTGCTGCAGTTGTGGGTTGGTGGCCATCAGCTGACCCCCCGCCTGACGACCGGAATCCTGGGCCACATTCGACACGGAGGCGGCCTGTTTGAGACGGGATAGAGCCTGCTTGGGACTCTGCGGCGGCAGTTGGCTTCCCGATCCCTTCCAGCGCGGCCTGTACCGCCTGTCCTCGTCCTCGGAGGGCGGACTGGTGTCGGCATTGGCCATGCCCATGGGCAGATGCTGCTGCAGGTACTGCTGTTGCTGTTGCTGCAACTGCAACTGCTGGAGCTGCTGCAACTGCTGCTGCTGCTGCTGCGACAAATCCAAGACGGAACTCTTGCGGCTGTTCGGTCCGCTCGGCAATCCAACGCGACTGGAACCTGTTTTGGGTGAGAATCACACGTTAGGGACATTTCCTCACTCAACTTCTTTGAACGCTTTCGAACTCAACGCAAGGTATCAAGTATTACTGGCAGATATGGGAAAACTACCATTCATCTACAGGCGACTACTGGAATTGATACCTTTCTATTTATACGTAACTATGTGTTTTTATGTTATAAAAATTGGGGTTTCAAAAAGATCAACATCAAATTACCATACGTTTTTTAAGGCTACAAGGTACAAGGTATTTGAAAAAATAAAGTCCTAGGTAAGGTAACAGGTACACAATTTGTCAAGTATCTGGGTAAGCTAAAAGGTACCAAAATTGTTAAAAACACAGTTTTTAATCCATTTTGTTTTTAAATTTTATTATCATTCAGGTCAGTTTGTTCTTTACCAAGTTGTACATGAATTTTGATTTGTGTATACGATCTGGCGATTAAGTTTGGTTGTTAAAAACTTGTAAGAATAAACATCTTATCACTTCTTCAAGTTTCATTGAAATTGTGATTTTTTATTGCATATTTGCGAAAATAAAACAAAATTTAATTTAGTGGTGTCAAGTTAATTTGAAAACAAACATAAATTTAAAAACTTTAGTACCCAAGTACCCAAATAGACAAAAAATGCTTTACCTAGGTGAGGTTTAAGGAAGCCTCACATTTTTTACCTTTGTAAAGTATAAAGGTATCAAAACATTGTACCAAGGTACGTATCAAGGTATGTACCTAGGTAGAAGTATCTAGGTACACCTCAACTCTGACAACTACTTATAACTTATACCTTTCTTTATACTTCAAAATTGGAAAGACTGATTGTTTAAAGTATGTTACAAATTAGTTAATGTAAATTGTTCGTTTTGCAAAGTTAGTGAAACACGTGTTCAAGATGCCGGCAATGGATTTGGACACCGCCCTGACGACCATCGGTAAGTATATACGTGTGTCATTGAAAGTGTGTATAACATTGCCCCGATCTCCACCAGGTTATGGCTGTGGTCAGGTGATTATCTTCGTCGTGAGCTTCTTCATCTACATGTACTCCGTTTGCGAGTCCATGAGTGTGTCCTATGTGGTGGTGCTGACATCTTGTGAGTTCGCCACCACCAAGGAGGAGAAGACCCTTATGGCCAGCTCTTTGCTGGGTGGCATGGTTGCGTCCGGTCTGTTTATAGGCTTCTTGGCGGACACTTACGGCCGGAAGTGTATTATCCGTTTGGCATTGCTGGGAGCCCTGGGCTTCTCGACCCTCTCGGCTTTAATGCCGGAGGTCTATTCGCTGTCGATGATGCGGATTATAGTGGGAGTATTGTGGGTAGTTTTTGATGTCTTTCTTGAGCTCTGTTAACCTTGCCCAATATCGCCAACAGCCTCTCCGGCGTTGCTTCCTTGCAGGTGGGCTTCCTAATTGAATTCCATGCACCCAAGTGGCGACCCACCGTGGTCGCCCTTTGCGGCCAATCCGTAAGCGCTGCCCTCATCTTCTGCCCCCTGATGGCCATGGGCATACTTCACGACGACTTCAGCGTGACCATTAGCAGCGACTACGATATGCGCCCCTGGCGCTTCCTCATGATAGTCGTCCAGCTACCCGGCTGGCTAGCTCTCCTGGGGATCAGTCTAGTGCCGGAAACGCCCTACTACTACATCTCTGTGAATCGCGAGGATAAGGCCTTGAATGCCATCCAATGGGTATGCCGGATGAACCGCAAGAAGTGGGAGGACCTTGACATATCGGGTATCTCTCCAGACGACCGAACGTCGATTTCCGAGGAGGGGGGCTTCTTGAAGAGAATGTGGTTCGACTCCATGCGGCTTTTCCAGAGGCCTTATGTCGGCACCACTATTATATGTCTGTTGCTTATTTTTGGGCTGTTCTTCACGTGAGTAGTTTTTAGGCATATGTTTTAAAGAAACATCATTTATGTTTCATTTATATTTGTTCGTTTAACAATTTTAAATCATTTACTTGTATGGTTGTACTGATTCACGCCATTATATCTCATTAATTCTTACATAGCTCTATTGGCCTGGGCATCTGGTTTCCGGCTATCCGCAACATGGACAACTCGGGCAGCCACCGGCTTTGTGACCTCGTGCGAAATAACCCAGTGTTTAAAAACCCAAAGTGGAATGTCAACGGCACGTCGTCAGCGGAGCCTTTCCGGTGTAACGACGTGATGACCAATTTGATCGATCCCATCTATTACGGCCTAGCCTACTTTGGTTGTTATACATTGTCCGCGGTTTTGGTCCGCTTTCTGCTGCGGAAGTACGTCATTGCGTTGCACATCGGTGTAGCCTTTGTCTTCGGGCTCGCGCTAAACGGCGTCAGTCAGGCGACATTGGTGCTGATCTCCTTCACCGGCATGATGGTGATGCCGGGTGTCCTGATCCCTCTGGCCTCCTCTGTGCTGATTGACGCCCTACCCATCCATCTGCGAGGCAAGGCTCTGTGTCTGGTCCGCTCGTTGGCGCGATTGGGAGCCGTTGTGGGCAGCACCATAGTTGGACTGCTGATCAGGGTCTCCTGCGACCTCACCCTCAACTTCTTCAACGCCTATCTGGTGGGTAAGTAGCGAGCTTAACATCAGTGTTTAGGGTTCATCCTACTAAACTACTACACTTTTTCAGTTAGCTTCATTTTGGCCATCTTTCTACCTAAATAAATGCTGGCAAGTGTTACGTTTTACAATCTTAACCAAATTTGTGAGTGATGCTGTAAAGCAGACATGCAATCGGCGAGGTAAGAAAAATTACTTCCCATTGACTTCTTTTAATCTTTGATCCACAGGTTTCTGAAAAAGTTATCTTAAACTACTCAAGTCTGGAACCTCTGACCATTAGAGTTATTGATACCATTTTCGAGACTCTGCATTACAACTTACATGTGTTCTTGTAATATCACTAATAAAGAACATCTTTGTTACCTCAATGAAGTTGATCATTTAACTTCTGGTGGTAGGAATACCCTGATACATAATAATTTATTACCTTACGGTAATTTCGAGTTTTCCCAGCAATCCATATTTATGTTTCATTTAAATTCATGTGTGTTCTCCGTATATATATTAATACAAATTTTCATTTTTTGGTAGCTTTCTAAGCAATTCGTATTTGTTTTTCAGTCGACTAAATTTTATATTATTTTATATTTACACATAAATATTTATGATGTCAATGAATGACATAGATGAAGTGTTTAATAAGCTTGGTAAGTCGTGCGCCTAAGCGGATAATCCTGTTGCCTGATCTTTGTGGTCTGTGGTTCTCAGGTTTCGGCAAGATGCAGTACATTATTTTGTTGGCCTGCCTTATCATTCAAATGTGGGTAAGCAACGAGCAACTGGGCTTTGCGGTAGTGATTGCCGGGGCCAGTTGTGAGCTGGATATCGCCAATCACCGAGTGGTCTGGCTGGTGTCCGGAAACTTTGGCTCCCAGATGATATCCTGCTATTTATGGGGCGAAATATCGGATCAGTATGGAAGGCGGAAAGTGCTCGTATTGGCGGGCCTGACCGCAAACTTTTTGTCCTTGTTGTCGGCTTGCATGCCGGAGTTCTGGTCCTTTTGGGCCTTTCGAACTTTGGCGGGCTTTTTGTAAGTAGAGAGGTCTAATCTCATTTTTATGTTTATTTCTTTTTTTATATATATATTTTGTTTTTTTTTTTCATTGCTAAGTATCTCCGGAAATGTGGTTTGTATCATGACCTACTTGAGTGAGTTTACAAAGGTTTCCCTGCGCCCCAAAGTGCAGAACATTATGAGCTATGCCATCGGTCTGAGTCTGATATATGTGCCGTGTAAGAATCGATTCACTACCCCCTTCAGATGTGCAGATTTCCCCTTTTCCTTAGCGCTGGCCGGTGTCCTGTTGCCGCTGAAAATGAAACCCATTCGTGGATGGCGCATCCTGCTCATTTGCAACCAGATCCCTGGAATCATCGGATTGCTCTTGATGGTTCTCCTGCCCGAGAGTCCCAAGTACTACCTGTCGGTTGGCAATCAGGAAAAGGCAATGAAGGTCATGGAGCAGGTCTGCCGGATGAACAGGGGCAAGGGGGTGACCTTGGAAAGTTTGGGAGTGGACTCGCTCACACAGCCTCGCCTGCGCGACTCGTAAGGATTTGATTTGATCCAGTTCCCATGATAATCTTATTTTCTTATTTTAAAAAGGCTAATGAATACAGACCGATGTCACGATACCAAGACTCTGATGACCAAGCATTTGAAGTTCATATGTATTTTCTTCTACATCTTTTTTACCCTGAGTGGAATGTGAGTTAAAGATTTTATTCAACAATAATATAACTCTATTATTCTAATTTACTATTCATTTTACAAGGGGGTTTTCCTTGCCCACTTGGATGCTGCGGATCAGAGTTCTTGCTAATCAGGTGGAGGAGCAGAAGTCGGTTTGTAATCTCATAAAAGACGATCTTCCGCAAGTTCTAGAGGTAGGTTTTGATGTTGCGATCGGTATCTCTTTTACCCATTTCTCCTCACAGTGTGAACTGGGCTATGATAAAATGATTGCTCCAATTACCCATGGTTTCGTTGTGCTTGGGATCTTTATACTCACGAGCATTCTCTTGATACGTCTCAAACGTCGAGTGGTTATAATCATTTATATCCTTATTGCCATTGCTGGATGTGTGTCCTTGAACTTTACGAATCATTCTGACCTGATACTGCTTGGCTTTTTCGCCATAATCGATCCGCCCCTGTGTAGCCTCAGGTTGGCGAGTTCCCTGCTCATAGATCTCGTTCCCACTCACCTCAGGTAAAGTTCTATGATATCTTTTAATGTATATTGTTCCCTTAAAGTTTTGTTTTTCCAGGGGAAAGGCCTTTGCTCTTATCAGCATGATGGGACGTGCAGGCGTTCTAGTAATCAATTTGTATGTGGGTTTAACCCTTTCGAAAATCTGCTATGTCACCTTTAATCTCCTCATTCTTTTACTAATAGGTAAGCAATTCCTTTTACTTAAATTTACTTTCTACACAAAGGAAATCTCTATAGTTTGCGGCATTCTAGTACTCATTTTACCATCTGAATATAAAGTCAGGAGTTTAATAATGCAAAAATAATGTAATATATATGACTTTTTAAATAAAATAAAGTTCTGCCTTTCTATACGATTTTTTATGAAATTAACTTTCTGGTTCACAAAACTTTCGGCAGACGTGATATGCATAATTATATGACAGATTTGCTTCATTAAAACTTTTTGACCAATGACAAGGCTCCCGGCACTGAGTTTTCCCCCATCGGCCTTGCCAATCAGTCAATCAATCATTCAATCAATTGGGCGCACAGCACGAAGTACAAATTTGATGGGGGAAAAGGATTATGGCGAAAGTTCAAATATTTTTCGTGCACCAGCCAAAAATAAAATAAAAGTCAAATAAACTTGGCGACAGCTGCGTTTATATTGTCTTTTTTTTTATTTTTTTAAAAATATTTTTTGTGTATGTGTGAGCCCAGCGGATATGAAAGTGCGTAAAAGGCAAAACGGAAACGGAAGGCAAGGCATTCGCTAAGCGGCTTAATAATAACTGTCGAGCAAAGAAAATTGAATCGAAAGGATGGGAAAACGAGAAAACATATTGGCAGAGACAGCCAACTTTTTGCTGAGCAAGGACAATAATAGGGACATCTACTTGGCAGTGGCAGCCAGGTTCCCCAGTGAGAATGGAGCTGTCAATTCCGTTTACAGCATATATATATATATATATATATATATATGGATAACACATTTATATATGAAGAACTTTTTCCAGACGCTGCTTATTTTCATATTTAACGGCTTGTTTGTGGCTCTGGGAAATACGTATTTTAGCTTTGTTATGTTATCGCGTTTTTTTTGGGTTCTATCTCGGTGAGTTTTCATATTTCGCCTTTGCAAAGTTAATTTCAAGGCTGAGCTATCTCGACGGAGCGTTGAAGGGTTTATGAGGGCGGCGAACTGTTGCGAAAAAGCCAACAGGTAATAAGAGGGTTTTCCCCTCTGAGCTTTGCATTTTAAACGCAAATTTGCTTGGCTTTTGTTCGCTGACACATATATATTTTTTGGCAACTTTTTTTTCTTTGTGAAAACAGCATCAATAAGCTTAAATAAGCCCCAGCCCAAGTTTTTCCCATGTTTCCTGGGACACAACCTCCAGTGGATTATCAAGAAAGTACGTGAGCCTGGCTGAGTGTGTAATGAGATTTCGGCTTTTTCGCAGCTCGCTAACATGCATGCGAGTACATTTTATACTATATATATTATATATACATGTACAGACGGATATGCTACTAAGTAATTGTGTGTAAAAGTGGGCGTTAATTAAGTGGCTTGCATGCAGCTAGCTGGAATCAAGAATTCCAGGTGTATGACGCTAATTAAGGTAGAAAAAGAAGATGGCAAGCTGAAACCAAAATGCCAAACGCAACTCAATCTCAATCTCAACTCAAGTTTATTTTGCATTCTTACCAGTGGTGAGTGATGTTTTTTTTGGTGGTGTTTCTAGTGTGGTACATACTGTAGTCTTGCTTTAATGCATTTTACATTGCTTAAATACTTGCTGCTAAGCTCAATTTGCAGGTATTCGTATTTTGTATTTTTGGTTTCTTGTATAATTTACAAAGGTTTTTTTAGGTATTCGGTTTATAGTTTTTTGGTTTTCTACCATTTGTGGCTTGCAGTGTGGTGTTTTGGTTGGTGATTGGCCACTCGAGAGTGAGCCCTTTTCATTGGATTAAGCAAAACAGAATTACGAGTACTGACAGGTGCTGAGGGCTTTAAACAAGTGGCTTTAGTTAGTGCTTTATGCGTTAGTTTATTTGCTTTTGGCTTTTAGTTAAGTTTAGTGTTTTGTCCAGTTTGTGTAGGGTGTGTCAAAGCTTTGATAATGCGACACCGATATTGTGGCTAATAGTGGGAAAGATATGGAAGAAGACATTAGAGAGATAGAGACAGTGGTAAATAGTATAAAGTATGTGTAAGATGCAATGTCGGATTAAGTGGGTGTCCATATAGCATATAGCAGCAAGGCAGAGTTGAGGTTTTCGTGGGGGTTTTAAAGGAAATGCATAGAGACACAGGAATATAGCGCATAGAAAACAGAAGGCAGCAAGAGATCTCTTGCAGTGAGTGTTTTAGATCTCGGTTCGGTGGTAGACGAAATCATAACAATTGTAAATGTTCCTTTTAACCAATCTCTGGTTTTCACCGAATTCTGCTCACATAACATAATTCCCGTGAACATTGGCCCTAATTAATCGTGATAGGTCAACAAAAATATCTGTTAAGTATAATATATCAATATTATCAAGTCTTTTTTTAAACTCATATACCTTCGACTCTATTTTAATGTATGTAAAAATGCCTTTGATTTTTCGGAAACTTGATATATCTTTGATTAAAAAATATATTTGTTGTTGCAATGATAAAATCTTTTAAAATCTTTAATATGTAAATCAAGAAGCAGAGAATCTGTGGAATTGATGCACTTGATTTTTTGAAAGTTTGTCAAAACTTTTATGAAAACTTGCTTGCAGTTTAAATGATGAAATTTTAATAGACTTCAAAACATATTCTTTTTTCGTATAATGTTCTTGGGAATTACGCCATGTCACTTTAATCTGCTTTTCCGAAGGACCAATCTTAAGCGTAAGTCCCCTGTACTCACGTCTCGATCCGATGCGCTTGTGCTGCTCGGTGCCCAGACTCATGGTGCGCCCCAGCTCGCCGCGGACAGCCTTCAAGGATTTCAAGATCTCATCCGGGTCGCGTCGAGCCACGGACGAACGACGCCGGCCCACCAAATAGGAGGTGGGCGGCGTGGCCATGGCGTCCTCCTCGAGCCGATTCTTCTCGGCATCCTGGAAGCTCGATCGACGCGAGCCCGGCAATGAGCGCGAGAAGTCCTTGCCCAGCTGGTAGACCTCCACCTCCATGGTTTCCGATTGCGAGGAGCCGCGTCGCGAGCCGGCTATATAGGCGTGATCCGGATGCAGCAGCGAAGTTCCATCTCCGATGGAGTCTACATCATCGGAGTTGGAGCGCTGCATGTTGTAGTCGCGTCGCAGGAGTCGGGTCACATCGCCACTGGGTGCTCCAGCTCCGGCCGCAATGGAACCCCGTGGCGAAACACTTGGCGACTTGCTTATGCTAATGCCACGCAGACCCTTTGTGTCCTCCAACCGACACCAGATGGCCTGGTCGTCGAGGAAGGCCTGCTGCAACTCAATGCTGCACTCGCCCAGGAAAATGGACTCCGTGTGGGGCACCAAGTCCCACAGCTGGATGTCTATGTAGCGATCCATCAAGGTGTCGGCCTTCACATGACCGAAGGTCAGTGTGGCGTTCCAAATGGGATTCTGCGTGGGTCGGCTGACCTCCGTTTGCTGCACGCTGCCATCACCGCTGAAAAGGGAAAACAAATTTCATCGTTTAATTATAAAGTCTTTTATATTTATTTTTATTTTTGCCTTTAAAATATCTCCTACAAGAGTTCTCAAAAAGAGGCTTTAAAATGACCACATAGGTACTTTTATTTCTTCTGTATGTGTGCTATCATGTTAAGCAAGTATAGGTATAAAATTTATTTCTTATGCTTATGCTAATGCTTAACAAAAAAAAAAGAAATGATTCTAAAAATAGTAAAGTTTATATGGCCTTAATTATTTGAGTTAGTGGGTCAATATTTTTATGAAAACATTTTCTCTTTTTGTTTTAAATTTAACTTTTTTTGTTATTGCTAATTTTACTTGATTTTAAATTACTAAAGTTGTTCATCTGAACAATATTTTGAATCGTATAAAGGTTTCTAATTTTAAGCTTCTATTATGATTATTAAAACTTTTTAATTGTTTTATGGATAGTAAACATAAAAAATGTTTAATAAATAATATATTTCTCGGAGATAAAACATGTTCCTTCTTACTTACCATTTGGGGAGAATGCGGACTTTGGCGTATGCCTCCGGCAAATTTCCATGTCCGTAGGCCTCGTCCCGCAGTGCCAGATCATCGCCGGCCATCAGGGAGACGACCAGCTCGTTGCGCTCCGCATGGTACCAGACCTGGATCTGGACCCTTCCGGTGACCAGCTTCTCGCGGGCAATTTGCTCCTGCGGCGATCAAAAAACTCGTTAGTTCACGGTTCACAACAGCTCGTGGTGCGAATGCCTGTCGCTATTTAATTCTTAACAATTTCTAGGAATATATATATATATATATATATTAAGTACATGTCTAGATTTATCAGCCTAGTGCCTAAACAAAAGCATTTTATTAGCCTCGCCTATTTACAGTTGTTCGGCCGGCATGTTTTCTGCAAATTTATTTCGCTTTTTTGTTGTGTTCTGAATGTGTGGTGTGGGTGTGAGTGTGTGTGTACAATGTACATAACTGAACAACAAATTAAAGCAATCAAAACGTAAATAAAACTAATTAAACGAGTGAGAACGAAGGGATGGTGGCAGGGCGTAGTGGGTGGTGGACTCTAGAGCATGCGAGTTAAATTGCAACGCGTTCCCCTTGGGGAAAAACACAAATACGAAATACGAAACTGAAAAGCAGGCATACATAAATATAATGCAAATTATGATGCTCGCACACTGGAACACATGTGTTTTCTATTTACAAAAGGCAAAACACACACTCATGCACACACATGCACGGAGATAAACAAAGAGGACCGCAAATGCAATCTGCTCGGGGCATTCTGTCTAGTGTTTTGTGTGCCCCAAAACGGAAGTCATTGCGGTGCAGTTGCGCATGAAGGTCCTGCGATTGTTGCCGTACTTGTGGCTGAAACTAGCACTATGTTACTGATATACCATAGAAGTGCACGAAGAAAAAACCCCACCTGCATTTCATTTCATTGGAAGTGAACAACTTTACAACTTTAAATTTAATACCTAATCTCATGATTTATTTTACACAAGGGTAAATGTTACCTGTTCGAATGAAAATAAATTATAAAATAACACAAAAACAATAACTATGAGTATGATAAATATTATCACTTAATATTTGAATAAGTTTAAATGACAATAACTTTAAACATAATATTTAAATGTATTTAATCACTTTTATTTATCACTTTTTTTTCAACCAGTTTAAATGACAATGGTTTATCATACAATACAAATAGAATGATAAATATTTATTGTGTCTATTGTAAGCTTATCTCGCTTGTTGTTATTCATCATATAATATTCTACCACTTCACACTTTCTCTTAGAATTTAGACATCAAATTCTTTGAACTCGAGCAAAAGTATTCAACAGTTTGTTTTTCCAAACAATGCTATGATAAACTTTTTGAAAAGTATAATCCCGTTAGGTGCGAATGATTTTAATACACTGCTTCGGCTTTGGCGAATTCCTCTTGGGTTTGGCTACTTTTTTTCCGTGTCCCAGTAGTTGGTAATAACATATTCATGGCGTGTTCATGCGCAGCAGCAACAACAACACGACCGAATTGACTTTCTCCTTTCTCCTTTCACCGTTCGCCAATGGCGGATCTGCAGCGGAAGCCGCCATATTGCAATAACGTGTTGCGAGCGGAAATGGAGCCCACACACACACACACACACACACACACACACCCATACATACAAACGTTCCAAAACTGTTGCTCGGTAACTTTTTTTTTCGTTTTACGAGCGAAAAGGAAATATATTACATTATGCCGCACACTTTTCATCTGTGGAAATCGAATTCGTGTTGGGACTGCCTCATAAATAAGTGGGAAGACGTGTTGTGGGGATGTTTATTTTTATCTACAGGTAAGCAGGCACATGTACTTGCTGGATTATTGGAGTTTATCAGAAGGCAGGCGCCGGCGATAAAAGCCTAAGCACTTGAAAACTTTTCAGTCCTTTGCCCGTCTTCGTCGATAATAATAATGACGAAAAAGGCTGAATTGTTTGGCAAAAGTTTTCTAATTTTCGACATTTGCCCGCTTTTTATGCCTCCCAGCTGTCAATTAATGGGCGACAGCACCTGTTGCTGGCAAGACAAAAGTCACCGCCCACTTGACACCTGCCCCGTTTTGGTTTTGGTTTTTGGGTCTCGAAAGTTTTTCAACTTTTTCCCCGGAAGATACATAACTCAAAGTGACACAAAAGTTATCCGCAAAAGTTGCGTATGAATACTAAATAAAGAGAGACATGCCAAGTAAATGGAAAAACACACATAGACAACTCTAGGTGGGCCACAAAAATATATACAAAAAAATTAAACACTAATTATATATGCCATATGCTACATTTAACATATATTTACAGGAGGAAACTAAGACAAGCTTCTATTGCTTTCAAATCGAATTGATTATGCTTTTAGAAAGTCATATGCATATGTTGTGGGTTAACAGATCAGATTGGATCAATCAATCAATCAGCACAGATCAATCAATTTGATGACAGTCGTATTAATCTCGGTTCTTTGTTTTGGTTTTAATTTTGTACATATATTTAGCTTGTTTCGTTTTTATTCGGTTGTTGTTCTGGTTCGCCTCGCTTATTTTGAGGTATAGTTTTCTTTTCTTTTGGTATTTTTCTGTTTATAGCCATAACTCGTGCCAGCTGGGGTTACATTGGTTGTACAGGAAATGAAAATTGAGTTCGTATACAATCAGCACATGTTGTTATTTATAGTAGGTAGTATTGTATATATTCGTAAGTGATTTTAGTTGTCGTTTTGAGGAGAAATGCTAATCGGTTTAAGATTCAAGATTCAAGAGCCACTAAATGCTAGTCAAACTTAGGCGTAGGCTTTATGCAAATTAGGCAAAATGCAAACAAATCAAAGTGATGTACTCAAGGAATCTAAGAGGAAATCAACTCAAATGGAATCGCAAATCAGGCAAAACCAAAAAATATATAACCGAAAAAGTTGTGTGTTGTTGTGTGCTTTTTTTTGTACTGTGACCCTGGATAAAACTGTATTTCCTGCTGGCAAAAAACCTGAGTAGATTGTCTCTATCTAAACACGAACATCAGGTACATTAGCGCACAATAAGCTTTTGTTTCGACGGATATAAAATGCAAACTGAAAGGATTCGTTTCGGAAAGTGTGTGTATTAATATGTATGGTACAGGGCTTCGCTTCGGAAGACGAACAAATACGACACTATATATGGTTCACAGATATATATATTGTACACAGTTTTTTTTTCTTTTGTGGGAGAGCGGCATAATTAAAGAGTAGTCGGTTATTATGCAAAGCCAAACTGAACAGACAGATACAGATCCAAAACCAAACGAAACGAAGCGGTGGAATCGAGACGAAAGTAAAGGTAAACATTTGCTAAGCGAAAGCCAAACAAAAGCTCATAAATTGAGAGTGAGAGGTGGAAGTGGAAATTGTGTACAGGGGACACAGCGTGGCGGCAGCAGGAAACCAGGAGAGAAAAACAGGTCGTATACGTAATAAATAAAATGGAACCAAAGAGAAAACAAACGCAAATTGTAATGCTGCATTACATAAAAAATAAAAAAAAAACAAGAGAAAGCGCACTTTACAATACATATTGACTGGTTGGGAGGGGTTTTTTACAAAAGTATCTTATAGAACCTAGCTAAGGTACACTGGTATTTAATAACTATAAATAGTTTTTGTACTCTAAGGTTACTGGGTGCTAAAACTGTACAAAGGTTTATATATATTATGGACTTGTCGCAGAAGTCACTAAGGTTTCGAAGCCATTTATAAAAGTGCCTAAAAGTATGCAACAGTATATGGTTAAACCGGTATTTGAAACGTCATGCGACGTTATTTTTTCACTGCATACTTTTAAACACCTTTCTGAATGCTTTCAAAAGCGTAGCTACTTCTGTGGCACCCCCATTTACTGGGTTTTTCTGTACAGGGTACTTGTGATAGAGTTGCTTTGTTCATTTACCATTTGTCTGATGGCTTCGGTGGGTTTGGGTGGCAAATCGGCAAATGGCGGATGGCTGAGTTCTGCGAATTTACGGATATGCGGGTCTACTGCGAAAGGATATAAAGCAAGTCCAGGCAAGAAGAGAGATTCTCAATTGTTTGCACGCGGTGCGTTTTTGTTTTGCAGTTAAATAGAGAGACTTTATTTTTCACATTTCTTTTGCTAGCCGATTTTCGTTTTTTTTTCCAGATTTAGATTTTTAAGTTTCTAGCACATTTTGGTACGCTGGTATACGCATTAGTGACTATTAACTGGTTGTATATAGATATATATATTTAAGTATCGTATAGCGAAGAGTTGTAAATGTATACATATGGTTTGGTTTTCAAATCAATTTGTCAACCTCGAGCTGCGCGGTTAGTGCATGTATGTACTATAATCTTAAAAAATTTCATCAGTTTTGTTTATTTCACATTTCCATCTTACAGGGAGCTCCTTTTCAGGGACCTTCGCACCTGCCCAAGTGACTTTTGTAAAGGTTTTTTATATAAATTTAGTACATGTTTTACAGGTATTAGTTACAGTTAGAGTTACAGTTATAGTTACGTTTATGATTACAAGTCGGTAGGTCTATACAAAGTGTCGTGATCGAAATCAATGTTAAGTTATCACCCATCTGACAGGAGTTACACAGCTACAAATCATCTGTTGTTTTAATGTTATAAGGTAAACGAGTAAATTCAGTTAGCTATTTGAAAATGATTCTCCAACTTATCCATCTGCTCGGATTTTAGCACTTCGTTATTGTGTTTCTTAAATATGTTTATATGTAGGTGGGCTTCCCCTTCACTTCCATTTCCATTTTCGTTTCCGTTTCCGCTTTCTCTTTCCAACTTACTTTCACTTACAGTTTCAGTTTCAGTTTCATTCTCAATTTCGATTTGACATTTACAAACACAGCTCTAACACTGACATATATAGTATGGAGAGAGTACGGGGTCTAAAAAAGCGCACAACTCTCGGACTTTAGTCGTATACCATACACATAGTATATAAGGTTTTTCGGGTACTTTGGCTTAAAAACACATTTAAACATTTCAACAACAAACTACTACTTTTTGTGTTTTTTTGTTTTTTTTTTGGTTTGTCCAATTTGTTTAGTTTTTCGATTTAGCTTACGATTACGTATATATATATATATTATAAAGTCAATAACATTTAAAACACACACAAATATTGTTAAACTCTGTTCGCTACAAATTTTCACTAGTAACATTTATAAAGATTTCGGTTTATCTATAAACTATATATTATAACTGGCCCAAGCTGAGCCTTTACATTAGTTCTTTTTTTGGTTTAGTGATTCTCTGTAGGTCTTTTGTTCCTTTGTTATTATTGTATCGATTCGTAGAGCCTAGAGATGGGTTCTACACAAGCGGTTTTATTTGTTTCGGATAGTAGCTCAAAATTGGTTTCTCAAATGGAGTTATCATAGACACGAATGTTACGTTAAAACTTGTTTATATCTTAAAACCCTATTGTTGGTGCTTTGTTCTTACTGTGATCCCGGGGCAATTGGATTGCCCGCAAAGAAGAAGGTTTTAACCAAGGAAAAAAAGACTTTTAGAAACGAAAAAGGGATACGATACGGACTGTATCGATATCCTTCACCTCCTTGAGCATCCACTCATCCTATCAATATATCGCTTAGTGGCTATTTAACCGTCTATATAGTATATATACGTTAGTTGGGCATGTTAGTAATATATTTTTGTTGTTTCTCGAAATCACTAAGTTCTACCAACACCGAAAAATAAATATATGTAAGTACATCTGGTGGTTATATGACAAAGAATATAGCAATGAACACATTTAGCCACTTCGCATGGTTAGTAATCATAATTTGTAGTGAAAATATCAAAGAAAATAAGATCGAAAAGAAATCAAGAGGAAACACATAGAAATCAGGAAATATATATATATATATATTACTCAGTTAGCTACGGTAAATATCGGGTATGAATGTGTTACCAAAAACGAAAAGGTCAAAGGAAATCGTTGAATCAGTGACTAGAAAAGGTGAGTTTTATACGAGTAGGTATATTTATATATAAATATATTTATATATAGTATATAGCATGGAAGCTGCAATCAAGTACGAAGGTTCAATTCAATTCATTTCGTGAGCACTTTGTGAAAGCTGAAATCGTGTGGAAAACTGCTGCAAATGCTTAAGCTGCATTTAATAGCTACTTTATATATATAGTATATAGTTTGCATTTAGTTTTCAGTTTTTGGCATTGGCATTGGTTTTGATTTTGTTTTTTTGGTTTGGATGGGCTTGGCTTGATGCTGCACATATAGCTCGGTGTGTTCTCATTTAGGCGGTAGTAGGTAGTATCTTTAAATCAATATATAGTATGTTCATTTCCTCTGCTGCTGCTGATGCAGCTTAGGTTCTCTTACTCATGAATGAATAAAACGAAATAGTTTTATACCGGAGTTTTTGGTAATTTCCGTCTAGTTGGCGATGCTGGTGATTTGTCTGTGGTGGTTTCGGGTTCTGTTTTTGCGTTATTTCGTTTTGGTCGCGATAAGAAGTAACAGGAAAACGAGAGCAACAAATGAAAATTATGTGAATGTCATAGCTGTTTATACTATATATATATTGTTGGGTATTATTTAAGGTTTGTATTGGCGGTTTAGTTTAGGAACTTATAAAGGAACTTACCCGCTATGAGGCCAAGGCCGACGGGACCGTCTCCGGATCGCCGAGGTCCGCTCTGACCACCCGCATTTCCGGGCGGCAGGTTCTCGTCGAACAGATCGCACATCCGGAAGTCCGTGGCATGCTCCACCAAAAGCTCCACAATGTCCCCGGTTCGGTCCATGATGGAGCACACCTCCTCGAAACTCCGGTCGATCAGCGACATTCCGTTCCATTCGAGTATCTGCGGGTGACGAACATTGGATAAGATTCAAAAACTAATATAATAAGGAGTGTCTCAAAGTATGTATTATCAATATAAAAAAAAACTATGTTTCTCTAAGCTTAAACTCTGCAGTATGTGCCAATAAATTAAATAATATTTATTATTAAAAAATACTATTACCTTTAATTAAAATGGATTTTAATACAGTTCTCCTTTTGTTTAAAAAATAAAATTTATTATTTAAAATAATAAACTCTCTTTACATTAATGCTTGAAATTAAAGCCTTTTTTAACGAGTGTTTGAATTTGAAAAAAAGTTATGTAAAAGTGTTTAAACAAAGTACTTAGTCTAGTTACAAAATTAAAATCAAGACTTAGACTTAGTTTTCAGTGAATCTTGCTTCTAAAAGTTTTATTTAGACAGGTGTTATTTTGTCGATCTAAAAAAATTATAGTCCTTTTAAGCAATTAATCTTTTTAACTTAACAGTATATCATTTTGATTGCTTGAATATTTTTTAAAAATAAAACTGAAATATAAATGTGTGTGGCAATATGACTTGTTGCAGTGTATTGCCGTGCCAAAAATCATCAATCATGTGCTATTAATTCAGGGCTGGCATCTGTCCGAGTGTGCACTGCGGTTGGCCGCACTTCAGCACCCTTTGAGCCACTACCAATCATGTCAGTGGACTGGCTTAAACACCACCCATTTATAGCCACACCCACATCCCCACCCACATGAAAACCCAACCCACACTCACCTTGTCGCCCTGCTGCAGGCCATTCTTCTCGGCCGCTCCTCCTGGAACGGTCCACACAACGTAGGCGAACAGACGGCCATCGGCTCCCGTTTTTCCGCCGACGACGCGCATCCCAAAGCCACGTGCTGCCGGAGTAGACAATGTCAGATTTAATAAGAGCCAGCCAGCTCACGCAGTCGAATAATCAATAGTGAGGATATAAGGCTCTTGAACTGGACCAAAAATCGAGGACTGCGACTAGGCACGTACTAGCAGACTACAGATACAGATACAAATTTCGGGCATGTGGCAACAATTTGCGTTGATTTCATTTGCACTTTGCAGTGTCAGTGCCACAAGTCGCAAAACGAACCCAGAATCCAGCGAAAACGAAAACCCACATTGCGTATACGCCATGTCGCCTGCCCTGTTTGTGTTTGTGTCTGCTAAGTTCTCTTTTTTATTATACTTTTTTGCCAACTCAGCGAGATTTTTTTTGTGTGGATTTTCCAGTATTTTTCTTTCGCCCAAATTTGACATAAATTTATTTCTCCAACATAAACTTGACCCCCTGACCATTTATAACAATTTAAGTGGCAAAGTGCTTTAAAGCAGACTGCTTACTTGGCTTAAATAAATATTTAGACAGTTTTACAGCACAGTGATATTTTGTTTTCTTAACTTGGGAAAAAACACTTCTATTGGAATAATTTATATAATATAATTTTAGTGGCGAAGTGTTTTTTTTAGACAGTTTTACTTTTTGTTACCGATTACATTTATATTATACATAATTAAATTGTTTAAACAACAGAATTCTTCAGCTTGCAAGCTAGTTTCGAAATGAGAGATTTCGCTTGCCGCGTGAAAACAATTTAATTAATTAAATTGCAATTTTGGGGGGAGTCTGCAGTTCGGTTTCAAGTACTTATCATTTGGCGCAGAAAACTAATTTCAACAATTTGTGCACCGAAAACTTGGGAAAGCGGATTTCCGCCGCCGTAGGACGGGTATTGCAGACAATGGCCAGGAAAGTTAACCAGCCACCGGGGCAGCGATGACAATGAAATTGTGTCTCCAAGGTGAGCTCTCTCCAGGGATCCAAGTGTGTGTTTGAGTGGGACGAAAGACCAAGGACGAAGGACGCAGAGAACTGAATCGACCGGAAGGACAGTTTGGCAGGTCTAAGTTTTGCGCAGGAAATGGCGGCAAACTTGGCCAGTATGCAATAAAATGTTGCGCATCCGCCTGGGCTGTTGATTCAGGCGCATTGATACCCAATTAGGATAAGGCGACATTTTCCCATCCCATTTCTCATTTCCCGCTGTTTGTTGAGTGTGTTTTAATCAAAAGTTTTTCCCGGCCCTCGCCTTAAGACTGCAATAAAAGCGAAATAAATAAAACGCAAATCCTTTTGCTGACAGCAAGGAAAAGGGCCAGATTATTCGATGACGCCACGGTTTTTGGCTAAATCGCGATTGATGCACTCAAAAAAAGGTATACCTAAAATCAATTTAAGCCTAGAAAAACGTGAAAGCAAATACATTTTATTTTTATTAATATACCTTTTACGAAAAGTTAAACTTTTTATCACCAAAAAATATATATATTATATAACGATTTAAATTTATATTTCAGAAAATTTAAAAATTTAAATTAAATTTTAAAAAATGTTTATGTAATTGCTCTAAATTCCGAATACTAACAAATATTTTTCTGAAAAATGTAGAAAATTTCTTCTTAGTTTCTGAATTTCCAAAAATGTTTTGTTTAGTCAAATTAGTTTTTGTTAAGTTTCGAAGATTTCTCTTAACTCTTTTTTAAGTGCAGTCATTTGCCTTAAAGCCCGCACTTAACATGGAGTTGAGTGAAATTTTCGATTCGTTTTGGCCATAAAAATCATGAGTGGAGGTGAGGTCCTTGTTTTGGCTCTGCCCGAAGACCAAAGTCCTTTGTCTCATTGTTGGTCCGCTGCCCAATGTCCGATGGCCTTTTTTCCTTTTTCCGTGCTTATTTGGCATTCTCGGGCGGGCCAGTCATTTTATGATACAATTTGTTTGCCGGATGGCCAACGATTTTTTATGTGGCCATCATTGGGATTTAATAAGCCGGGCTCGCAGCCGCACACACAAAGGTGTGTTGTTTATGGGCAACAGTGGGTCGGGTATTCCAAGGGTTTATTCCAATTTTGGGGTGTCCGTTTCTTTTGTTGGCCAAGGGCCGTAAACATCCTGGCAAATTGAATCAACATTTGTATATATGTATGTCATTACGGTCCCACAACTTTAACTTTGAAAGCCTATACCCTTTAACTGGCTTAAGCCTATCAGAGACTAGAAAGATTTTATTTTTAAATGGAAAACTATCTCTAAGTTCTGCCTTTAAAGTTTCTTCCTGGAGCTCCCTTGGAAAGTTTTTAATTTGTACCATGTCCTTGCATCCCTTCTGACTGGCAAACACATGCTCCACATCCTCGTAATGGCATTTAGTGAGCAAACTTTTAGCTGACACACATTGAACGACTTAATCGATGCACACCTGCCTGCCATCCAGGCATCCTGACGTCCCAGGACACCTTTTCCTGCTACATCCTTTTCCTGCTGGGGCAGGAGACTAGGAAACTAGTCATGAAGTCATGAGCGACAGCGATTTAGTGGCTTCTATCAGCTGCCATAAAAATTGGCTCTTAATTAAACTAGTACAGCGAGAGCCAGGCTAATATAGTACACATATGTCCTGGCTATCAGGTTTTCAGTGGGTTAAAATAATAAACAAGATCAAGACAAGGAGCATCCTTTGGCACGGACACGGACACGGACAAAAATGTCTGCTTTATTTGAAACAGAATCATTATTATAAGTTCGATCTTGTAAGTAAAAATGTGCGATGTAAATGGTATCAACAACTTGGCAACTATTTAGAGTTTATTCTTCATTTTTCTGCGTAAATTTTAAAAGGTAACAATATTAAATTTATAAAGAATCCCAGAATTCGCAAACCATTTTTAATCTCTAATTTCACAGCTCATATCAATATGGGCCTTTTGAACATTTATTCGTGCCAAACTAAGTGAAGAAAGGGAGGATTTTAGGCTGTTTTTAATGCTTATCACTTCAAACTTGGCTACACAAATTTCTTCCTAATTTTTTTCTGTGTACCATAAAGGAAAATGGCCCGATTTGAGAGACTTTTGAGGAGGAGAACTATGAAACGGCAGTCAAGCGAACAGTTTTATGTTATGGGGCCAAAGGAGGCGTGGCACATGGCCACCTGTAGCTCAGAAAACTAAGCACGCAATGCCAAAAACCCAAAGTTCGTGATTCGTGGCAATAAATGGATAGTGTGTGTGAGCGAAGCTCATGAGGCTGCATAAAATTTCATTAGGGGTGCTAGGACGCCATTTGGAACTACACCTGGACCTTTAAACACGATTAACAGTCGCTATCGGAACACTTTAAGCGATGCATAATTGAAGACTTTGCTGGAAGCCATTGAATTACATGAAGAGGGAGCCATCCAAAGCCTAATTAGCCATATGAATTGCAGTTGCTAATTAAGCTCACCAGCGTGTTAATGTAGATGCACCTGCGAAAGTTAATGCAAAAAATTTAGCCTGCTTCAGGGCGCACAGTAGAGCAGCGCAGCAGCGCTCAAATTACAAGGCATCAGCTCAGTCAATATATCAAGGCGAAATTGCAGCACAGCTGCCACAACCACAAGCAGTATTCTGGCATACTGTGTTCTGCGTATATGTGTGTGCTGTGGTTAGGAAGACGCAGTCCTGGCAGTCCTGCCACAAGGATAAGGATACGGATAAGGATACGGATGGAGGTGTACAACAAATACCGGCAAGGAAATGGTTTTGCACATTAAAATTCCACTTGCTTCGCTGCATATCAAATATGCCGGGTTTAAGCAGGCACATGGATATATAGACAAGGCTCTCTCGAGAGGGTTTTAACTCGTGATATCACAGACACAGTTGAGGGCAAAAAAATAGTACTTGAACAATATAAAAATTTCAAAAAAAAATTATAATTTTAAGGCACAAGACAATTTTTTCTTTTAATTAACTCTAAACTAGTTAAAATAACTAAAAAAAAACTTGAATATATTTTTAGAAAAAATTAGGTGTTTAAAATTCCCATAGAATAGGAATAAAAAAAACCTTATTGAGTTTTCAAATTAAAAAACCACATTTTTCAATCAAAGTTTTTTTAAAAATATTTACAATATTATTATTATTTAATTATTTTTGTGTTGCCAAATTCTTGAAAATAAAAAATAATTCTTTGGCTTTGAAACTATTTTTTGTTAACGTTTCTTTAAACTTAAAACAGTACTTTAATTTTAACCTTAACTGTATAGCATAGCCCGGCCACCCACATTCCGCTGCAGCTGCTTGTGCGTATTTGTTGGGTATTGACATTTTTTTTATGATATGCAAATTGAAATTTTATATTAGCAAGCGCACGTCGCACAGGTGGCTAACCGATGGGAAAAAGGGGGGAAAACTGTGTGTACGGCTAGTTATTTTGATTGGTATTATAGGCGCTCGTTATGAGCTCTCCACAAGATCCCACTTAATGCCACGTTCTCCAAGGGAATTATGAGTGGGTTGTGGAGTGCCGTTTCAAGTAGTTTCCTCACAGCTATGGAGATTTTTAAATATTGAAATTAAACATATATTCATTGTTTGTGGTTCTGGGAATATTTTTAAAATCATCTCTGAGCTGTGCAGTATCCAGGAACACTTCATTATACAAAATTCATTGAGTTAAACTTTATTGACAGTTCTGGGAATACTTCATTATTGCAAAGGCATTGAACCTTAAGAAGTCATAAGTCAGAATTTTTGTGTGTTTGGTTCTGGGAATATTCAACTATTAAAAGTAATATAAATCAGCAAAATCATTTCCAATATATTTCATACACTTAAATATAAATTTTACAGACAAATAAATATATTTTTAAATAAAGATACTACTATATGAATTATCCTGATAAAACTCAATTCTCAGTAGATATTCTTGCTTTAAAGCGGGAAATTCTTGACCAAACGTATTACTACCAAGAATTTGGCAATCAATTTTCACTTCCAACTGTTTTATTTGCGCAAAGTTTTCACTTGCAACTCACAGCTCGAATTTGCTACCTCCTCAACACTTTTTTGCCCCTGGTTTTCTAGTTACCAGTTCTCTGGCAGTCTTTTGAAATTCGAAATTCGAGTTTGCCCTTGTCGAGAGTGCATCTAAGTGTTCAACATTTCCCCCTCACCCCCCACATTTTGACCAGTACAAATGGAAAATTGCCAAAATCCTGGCCACTTTTTATTGCATTCGACTTGGATGTGTTCATGAAACTGGCCAAGAGAGCAGGCCATGCATGCATGCATATGCCAAACATTCGGGGGGCATTATTATTTATGGCCAGCATGGCATGAAGTTTTCCATTCCCTGCCCCATTTAAATTTTTTTCTTTGAATCCTAATGCCCACGTTCCTTTTTCGTATTGATTTTTATGCTTCGAGTCCGCTGCCGATAATTAAAAATTCATTTGGCCTGGTATCCGGACTGACTGGTCCCTTGAGGTATGCAACAAAAATGCATATAATTAAAATACATCCACAGGAAGTGGGAAACAAAGCGAGGGAAAAAAACCCTGGCCCACCCATACACACACACTCATACACACACAACCAAACGACATTGGCCAACAATGCCGAACAGCTAAATATCCTGTGTGTGTGTGTGTGTGTGTGTGTGTGTATAGAGTCCTTGCTGCTGCAACTACACTAGCAATTTAAATATTTTTTGCTTTAATTTTTATTCGTTGTGGTTATAATTCATGTAATTTTTTATGCATGGTATTTTATATAATGATTATACATTTAATACTCAGGCTTTTATTTTTCCTACTTCATTACTAACTTTACATTAAAATTAAGCCACATAAAAACTCAATATATTCGCCTTAAAATCAAATAGAACCCATTAAATATCTTATGTTTTTTTATTTATTATTAATATATAACTATATTTATTTGTACGATTTATTTTTTTTTCTCAGTGTGGAAACTCAGAATTCGAAGCTCTCGCTGCCTTTATGTCGATAAAATCCGCTCAGTTGCTTAATCTGCTACCAGTCTGCTTCAGCTTTGGGTTTCATTAAGGTCCATGGGGACCCAGACCACATTATCCCTGCCACGCCCCCTTGCCCACAACCGTAGCCCCTGCACTTTGGCGTGGGGAATTAAGGTGCCCGCAACCGACTTCATCGCAGGATGGAACCCGCTGCTCCCTCGAATTAGCATAACCAAACGTTGTAATGAGTCCTGTTTACTTGCCCATTTCCGGTGCGGTTCCAAGGGCAGGACATCAACCGAAGCCGGATGGAGCGGACAAACAAACTACTCAATCAAATTCCCGCACAGAAAAAGTTGACTCTTTTAGTTTTTGTGGTTACAATTCAAAACTATGTACTGCTGTGTGTAACATTGAAGTTCCCTCTTTTTTATTTATATATTTTTGTTTTGCCAAGGGATATTGCTACTTCGATGTTAAGACAATTGGGTAGAATTTATTATCGATTACTTTTCACTGATTTTCTTTGATTATATTGTGAGCCCATTTCTTTTGTATTTTTAGAAACTATCTGTATTTTGGCCAGTGCAAAGTCCTACACACACACACACTCCCAAACACACGCAATCTCAGGCACACATTAAGCTAAGCCCCGGAGCTTCAGGTCTTCGGTGCCTTGTGTCTTAGTTCCTAAGCCCCAAAACTCACTGCGGTGCGCCTTGTCCGTGGGATCTCGGCGCAGAATAATGCGCCGCTTAGATGCACAAATCGGACCCGAATCCACGTCATGTATTACGATCCTTATGGCCTCGCCGTCCATTGATGTCTGCCGCCGTGGCGCCTCCAAATCCTCGAGATTGGGACCGGTAAACGAGGCCATGGGCGGCGGAATCGCGGAGGGCGGAACCGCCGGCAGAGCGCCTCGATTTTGCAGCATCGCTATGTCGGGGCTGTTGAAAGGGATATTGAAGGTGTTTTCAATAATATAAAAAATGTTTGTTCTACGGATAACCCTCCAAAACTGTAATCCCAGTGATTGTTTTTCAAGTTTTGGATATATATTTAAATATATAAATATAATATATTTATATATTTAAAATCTTAATTCCCCTTCTGCAGTATAAGCCCTTTCAAAAGCTAACACCACTTACAGCTGGGAGCCGCGTCGCCGCATCCGTCGGTCATCATCGACGGTCAGCACGGGGCTGCCCTTGTCCGGCGATCCCGGCGAGTCGTCGTTCTGGATGTCCTCCGAGGGATGTGGCACCCGGAACGAGGGTCTCCGCGACCCGGGCAACTGGATGGGCGGCATGATGCCGCCCTCTCCCGGCGACCTCTGCAGCTGGGCAGGTGTGGCGCCTCCTTGCGTCAACCCGGGGGCAAACACATCGTAGGCGGATTTCCTGTGGTTAAGATGGTGTGTTAAAGTGCAGTGAAAAAAGCCGTGTTTGATACTTAATTTAAATATTTGTCGCTTTGATTATGCATTTGTTTCATTTTACTATTAACGAACTTTATTTTAATATTAGCAAAATTACATCATATAAAACAATAGCACCCACTTTAAATCAAAAATTTTCCACATTAGTTAAAACAATTTAATACTACATTTTGTAATTTAATATGCATTTAAAGTTATAATTTTATATTTTACTTAACTTTATAATTCTAATCTTGAAATTTCCACCATATATAGGTGCCAATTAAATTCTTTTTTATCCACATTAAATCAAATATTTTTAAGACCATTAATAATTTGCTTTAATATTTAATTTAAATATGCAAAAATTTTGATGTCAATATATTTATATATATTTTTAATTGTTCTCATTTTTTGGAGGTCGCCAATTTTAGCATTTTTTTCGAAATTTGATCCATCCCAAAATTTTTGAGCTGTGAATGCCAGTTTATTGAAAATTTTATGACGAAGTAAACGAGGTATGGCATTCCATCATTGAACTATTATATTATTTAGTTTGTGATCAAAATACTGCATTTAAAACTCATTTTTTGGAGGTCGCCAATTTTAGCATTTTTTATAAGGGGTACCCATCATCATTTTTTTCGAAATTTGATCCAACCCAAAATTTTTGAGCAGTGAATGCCAGTTTGTTGAAAATTTTATGACGAATTCAACGAGGTATGGCATTCCATCATTGAACCATTATAATTTATAGTTTCGATCAAAAAACTGCAATTTAAACTCATATTTTTTGATCAGTGTTGTTGGATCACCTTCTAAAAACCCCCCTTACCTGCGCGGCATGGCCGGAATGCCAAGGCCCGCTCCATCCGCCCCCAGTCCCAGCGCCGGACCCCCGCCGCCCATGCTGCCGCCCACGGGGCCGGTCTTCATGTCGTCATCGTAGCTGTGCTGCCGGGCCACCCGCGACCCCCTTCGCGACTGCATCCGCGACAGGGGCGCCCCGAAGGGGGCTGTCCGTCTGGACCTTCGCCCCTCGGCGGACTGTTGGAGCGACTGGGCGCCATGCTGCGGCCCCCTTTCAGTTGCTGGAAAGGGCGTGATAAAAGGTTTACGATGTTCAAAAAAGGCTTTTAAGATTAACTAAATTTATAATATAAAAATAAACTAGTTCGTATTGTTCCAAAAACTCTTTATAGTTATTTATTCCTAAAACGTAATTGTTTTGTTACGTATTTAAGTTTAAGAGCTGACCTGAACCTATTTTTAAGAGTTCAGGCTTAAATCATTAATTTTGTTTTCATACCTTTAAATTTATTTTTACATTCAGTCAATTCAATTTCCTCGATCAATTTATCTTAGCAAAATTTGAAAAGATTACAGATTAATTAAATCTTTAACTTTCAAAAGTTTTGTCAAATCAAATAATGTGTTGGTGCTGATTTTAAATTAAGTCCAAAGCTCAAATTTATTTATACAATTAACTAATCTGAACCTATTTTTTAAAAGAATATATATAAATATGTTTTGTGGTATATAGAACAGCAAAAATCTAATTTTATTATAAATATTTTATATATGACTTACCCTTTCCAACTCCTTGAGCGAGGCTGGCGAAACGTCCGAGTGGCGCCGCAGTTCAGGACTTCGCGGCGGGGCGAGGGCGGCTCCGTTGCTGGGCGCCAGCGTCTGTGTGCTGCTGCCCAATTTGGCGTCCGAGTGGCGCCGCTGCAGTGCCTCCAGCACCGGGACGTCCAGCATGGAGTCCGTCGAGTCCTGTGGAATGCACACCCGCGAGGCCATTTTCCGCCGGCAAACGCTGCAGCGCCACATGGTCTGTGGAAAGAAAGGAGACAAAAAAGAGGGAGGGAGTAAAAATCAATTGCCATTGCTGTGGCAACGCGGCATCAAGTATACGCAGCGTTAATTAAAATTTGCTGCTAAGCGCTGGAATCTATTTGCGGCCGCACACCGCTGTGTGTTGCTAATATTTATTAGGGGCCAGCGCGAATGCTCAAGAAAACCCATTATGCTGGGCAGCGAAAATAAATATTAATTACTTTCCGAACAAAACTTTTCGCCCCCCTGCCGGTGAGCACGTTGTTGGAAAAATCCTATTTCCAGGACCTCCACACCCACCACACACCCATACAAATTGAAGGGGACACAGGTGCACAGCCTGCATCATTTTCATCCCCTCAAGTCCGCCTCGCTGCATTTTCCACTTCCTTTTTTTTCCTTTTTCCGCGGCACGCCCGCACAATGCTCGTTACATTTCCACCTGGCTGATGATTCATTTTGCCCAGCGGCTCCAATCGTCATGTGTGTCACCCTCTACCCTTCCATTTTTGCCTTTCCCTCCCCTCCCTCATATTCAATGGCTGCCCTGCCTGAAGCTGCCGCCATTGTAATTAAGTCGCTGCACAGAGAAAAACCACCAAAAAGTTTTGCGTGCTATCAAAATAGTTGGTTTTTGTGGCTTATTTACAGTTTGAAAAATTAGTCTAAAAAAAACTGTCAGGTGTAATTATTTTTTATTAATTTAAATTTGTTTTGATTTTGTATCAATTTTTAAATTTTTTAATATAAGGCTGATTGTAAATTTTTACGTTAACTTTTTTTTTAGTACTAATCAAAATGCAAAAGACTTTAAAAGGTTTATTATTTATCTAAAAAGTTTGATTGATTTGTTATAAGCGATAGTTTTCTACTTAATTTAATTCATTATTTGTGAAGCATTTGAGTTATATTTAAATTTAATACATTTTGAGCATGAACAATTCTTTTTTGGGAAATAAGTTTGACAATCTGATTTTAATCAAATTTTTTTCGGTGCAGCTATGGCCGGTACTGTAAGCCACAGCTGCAGTCTGAAACTAGAGCCTGGCTCTGGTTTATTGCCTCTGAGCTCCCCAGTTGCGTGCTCTGTAATTACACGGTGCTGCAGTGCGGCAATGTGGCAGTGTGGCAGTGTAGCAGCCAGTTCATGATCCCATCGAGAAATTGAGTGAAAAGTTATTTCCTAGCTGCCACAGCAACGTCAGAATAAGAAGAGCAGTCAAAGCCAAGCACACACTGCATACTCATGGAAATTTAAGACTTATTTTGCGTTCCTCGCGTATGCAAAGGCAGCCTGAACTCGATTTTGATGTGAGAGCTTGAGAGCTTAGCTCTGAGCAGCAAGTCGTGCATGTAGCAGCAAATAAGCCACAACAAATTTCTAAATAATCAACATTCACGAATTTTGTCAGTCTTCCTTTAACTTATCGCTGAAGTACATATTTATTATGAAAATGTTGTCACAAAGTTTAAGTGATTACACTACTTATAAGTAAATAAATAAACTTGTCAATATATATTGTTTTACATTTACCCTTTTAAATTTATAAAATAATTTTGAAGTGAGAGCTTAGCTGTAGTACTTTCAAAGGTGTCTAAGCAAACAAATAAATATGTATATTGAGCATAGTATCTATTTACCCTTTCATATTCAAAATTAAATTAAAACAATACCTTATCATTGACAACTCTAATTTAATGTTTCTCATCATAAATTTAAATAAACATCTAAGCTGGATAATTTAAATCACTTGTGATTTCTGGTTATCAATTATTTTTGGAAACTCTCAAAAGATTTATGTGCCACACTGATATGTCTATTGGTTGGAAAGTGGTTTAATTGGTCAATAAATATAAGAAACCCATAAAGGAAAAAAAAGGAATTTGGGATTAAAATTTCATATTCCAGCACTAGTTTTGTGCACTAGAAAATAAATTGAAGTTTAGTATTATTCTAACCATTTTTTTCGGCCTTTTAGTCAAAATTACTATCTTGTTTTCTCCGAGTAGATGAAATCAAATTGCCATTTCCCAACATATATCATAGTAAAATATAAATTTTTGAATTAAGAATTGGTACTCTAAAGAGTGATTGCACTTAAAATAAGCAGTACATCAGTGCTATTCTCATAAATTATTCCGGAGTAAAAATTACTATGCTTTGTTCTCCGAGTGACTGAAATCAAATTCCTATTTTTCACTATAAATAAAAATTCGGCATTAAAATTCTTACTATTTTCATCATTTACTCCGGAAAAATTACTATATCATTTTCTTCGAGTGACTGAAATCAAATTCCCATTTGGCAACGACCATATCTGGAGTTCATGAACAATTGAATGGCTGTCCAGTGCCCAGTGCTGTATGCTCTAAATGATTATTTCAGCAGCGAAACCTCTAAATGATGGGATACCTCCTACTTTGCCCCAAACTCTCAAACCAGACCCATAATTACGATGGGCGGGCATAACAGGCGGTTATTTGTCGGTTGGTTGTGCTGTGTGTGCTGTATCCTGTAGTCAACGCCCATGAACATCAATTTCAATTAGCCAAAGTGGCCAGGTTGACAGACAAACGTTAAATTTTATGTTCAGGGCGTTGGCGTGGCTTCTTGACAAATTACCACAAGTTCGGGTGAAGACAATGTTGCACGGTGCGGCTATCAATGATCATTATGCGGCCAGTGTTGATGGTGGAGAAACAGTAGAAACAATGAACTGGACATTGGGGGCATGCATCCAAACTACCCTACCCTCCTCCAAAAGGGGGATGCCATTTAATCTCGTTAATTCGGCCTTTATCTTGTTAATGCCCCGCGATGAATAGGCCGCAGTTGTTGAGCCCAATTGGCCATTGTCCATTGTCACCGAGCCCCTTTCGCCACCAAGGACAGTAATCTAATTTATGCTCACTGACCCAAGCCCCTTCGCCTTTGGGGCTTTTGTTGCCACCCACGCAGTCATTATCACGGCAAAAAAAATGCAATTTCTACGCTTTGTTTGAGAAATCGAGTTTGCTACTATGGTTACGTGCACTAAATAGCTTTGTTTTTAAGTCACAACTGACGGAATGCAAATTTTTATCGCAATCAATAAGTATTAATATGCAGCACAATATTTGACATTGTATTAAGTGCGAACAAATAGCTTTTTATCACATATCATAATCAATTAGTTTTAATGTGCACCACAATATAAAATGTTTATTTCACATCTGAAACTTTTAAAAGTTCTGTTTCTTTACATATTTCACCTATTAAAATTTTGTTTAAAAAATGTAAAGACGATTTTAAAATATAGCAAAAAAAAAGTTAAAAAATCAATTTTTATTAAATAAACATTTATAAACGTCTAAGACACAATAATAAAATGTTTTAAACCAATTTAAAACCATTCTCATTTTGCCATTTATTTTTCCAGTGCCCGACTACGCCCTCGACTATTTTCTTATTAATGAAGTCCGGCTGAAAGCCAGTGTTTATTTCTGCGCGCGACCATGCGGCCATGGCGCATTGCCTAGTGGCCCGGAAGGTGCATCCTGGACCCATGTCCTTTTCCCCGAATCCCCTTTCCCCTTCCCACGGCGTCCTGGCACAACTTACCGCATCCTCGTGCTCGTCCAGCTTGCTGTAGCTGGCGCAGTCCTCGCACACCCGCTGCTGGCACTCGAAGCACGTCTTGTGGTAGTCGTCCGGCTTGAAGGACTTCAGGCACACCCTGCATGCCCCCGCCCTGCGTCCTGGCTCCTGTTTGGCCGCTGCCCCGCCCCCTCCGCCTCCGCTGGTCGTCGTGCTGCTGCTATTGTTATTGTTGTTATTCATAGTGCCGCCGGAATCCTGCTGCTGCTGCATTTGCTGCTGGCTTTGATAGCTGGGCGAGCCGTAACTGCCGCTGGTATCCGCATCCGTCGGCACCAAAGAGGGGCGTGGCGACATTTTATTAACTTTTTAAAAGGGAAAAGACAAGGGATTAGGTTACACTGGTAAGAAATGTAGTAAATGCAAGTATTTCACACTCAATTCAAATATTTTTTCGCTTTGATTTACAGTTTTGCGGTTTGAAGCTATTTTAAATATGGAAATATTACTACTTTGTCATTTGACTATTTTCAAAATTTTTATATTGGAAAGTTTAGTTCAAATTTAAAGAGTGTTAAACAAAAATAGAATCCATTCGAAATCTGTTATTCCCAAGTTAAATTCAATGGCCAAAAATTTGTTTGAACTATTCCATTTTTGTATCAGTGTATGTTATCAATTACTGAGCCAACCAAGCGAAAAGCCAACCCTCTGGCTCTATGGAAACTTGTTGATTTTCCACCGATTGTATGGACTGACCCAAATGCAGTGTGTGTGCTTGCCATTCTACATTCCATGCTTAATTTGTTGTCAGCGCACATAATTTGTTTGGTCTGCTAATTGCCCAAGCAACTGGCAGGCAGGCAAATGCAATAAATAAAATAATAATCGCCTAAAGCGGATATATCTGACAGGCTTTCGTTATTCATTAAGAGACAAGGCCAAAAGGAAGTAGTTTAAATGGCAGCTAAATCGGATTAATTGGAATAGGTAGATAAATGAAATTAACAATTTTTAAACCAATTAAACCAATTTATATATTTAACTATTTACTAGCTTTAGTTTAAAATGCCCATGATTTATATTAAAATACCGAATTAGCCCACAAAATTAATATAATCCAACAACGCAATTAAAAATAGAATTAAAGAATTTATTTGTCTATGCTTGATCAACTGTTTTGCTAAGAAACATATGCGCCGAGCAAGTGTAAATAAAACAATGTGGATGAATTGCTTAACTTATGTGTTTGCCAGTGAGACTGAAGCACTCTACTAAATTACATAAAATCACTTATGCAATATTTGATTTTTCATTCTAAGTGCGTTTTTTTCCTCTGCAGCGGAAAAACCTGACAAACTGAAGCCTTTTTCCCTGAACTGGCACACATTTATATGATTATATGCTTATACACAGCGAGTGTGTGTTTTATACATATAGTATTTCACCCTTGAGAAAATGTTGAAAAGTTTTATGCGGCCCGGAAAAAGTCGCGGTGCATTAGTCACAGTGAGAAGACAAGGACAAAGGTGTGCTTTTGTTGTGTGTGCCCTGCATTGCTCATACGCACAGTTGCACCCTGTGCTTTTTCACCTTTTGGCAACTCACGCTTGACATTTTCAGCCGTAAAAGTGGCAAAGCAAATATAAAACAATGCGAGAAAAAACCTTTTTCTCCCCTATTTTTTTTTTTTTTTTGCGAAAAAGCGAATTACCAGCTCAAGGGAACACTCAGGCGGCAGAAAAGAAAAAGCTATTAAAGTACCCGCAAGTTTTCTTCTGCTTTTAAATTATGTGTCAGCTCTTGACTGTGGTTAGCCAACAAAATCTGGAGATTTGCCAACTGCCCTGCAGCAGGATGTGCATCCAGACGGACACACAAGTGCCAAAATATTTGCCCAAATTATGTGCTGCAAATCTGTCTCGTTCTTTTACGAGTCTGCTAAATAAACATCGTGAAATAAGATTTCATTTCGTTCTAATAAATCGAATGGCTTGGCCATAAAATCAACAAGCCACAGCATTCGCTTTGCTGGTGGCCAACTAAAATGTGATAAAAATAACACAAAAGTCAACACCACATTCTCATGTTTCCCGCTGCTTCTGTCACTATTACATACTAAATAAATACAGTAGTGTTTGAAATAATAATGGCATTACATGGTTTTAAATGAAGACGTTGTCTAGATGTTACATCAAATTTAAATGTCTCAAAAAGCTGGCTTAAGAGAATTTATGTTGATTTAGTATTCTTAAAAAATAAGTTTTTTTTGCTTTGTGTAAATTTTAAGGTTCAACTGCTTGTTCAATTTTTTTTTTCTATTTTTACTATTACTTTGTACATAGCTGTGAACAGTATACCACGACTGATGCTGAAACAGTAGTCCACAGATTTTATTGACCTTCTTGGTAGCATTTATGGTCACCATAACAACAGTGACAGGGTGAATGGCGATGACTTGGCATTGCAGTAACCACTGACTTCTTGCATAATTCAATATGTGATGCAAACGAGCGTAAGCAGCAAATATTGCGTATACGCGCCGTTAGCTGCCGAATGCTCATTGCCAAAGACTTACGTGCATTTGCACACACACTCGCACACACACACACAAAGTTTGCACAAAGTTTAGCCAGCTGGCTTTGCGGGCACTTGTATGAAAATTCATGCCATAAATTCGCCTGCACTTACAGCAAGGATAACCAAACACACAGCGGCAGTGCCAGGATAACTTACCTTTGTCTGTGACGGTGAGCAGCGAGGAGGAAATCGTGGCCTTCATCTTGTTCAGGGCCCCCGTTTGGGAGGCCCCGCCCCCGGAATCCGTCGCATGTTGCTGCCTTTCGCTGGCCTGCTCATCGGTGGCCACCATCTGTGGGAAAACAACAGGGGAGAACAGAGGGGAAAGGTGAGAGGTCAGCGAGAGAGCGGTGCTAAGTCAAAGTAAATGTGGATAAACATTGGCGTATCGAGCTGTGAGTTTGATTTGTGACAGCTGTAAATCTTTATTCGGCTATCGGGTATCAGCTGGCCATGAACATAAAACTTGGTCCAAAACGGGGTGATTATTGGCCGTGTAATACCAAGTCAAGTCAGCCGCGTTTATCAGCTAATAGTCTTATGCAACAGCTTATGCTGGATTTTGAAGGATGAGGTTTTAAATATGTGATCTGGTTAAGATAAATTTAAGGGATTTTGAAAATTTTAATATAATGTGTTGGTTGGCACTCAAACAGCGTTTTTAAGTGATTTTAATTAATATTAATAAAATGGCCATCATGGGCATAATAACTTTCTTAAAATAAACTTAGCTGGCTTAAATATACAAAAGTGAAAAAAAAATTTGTATAACAATAAGTAATTAAAAAGTTATTTATTATTTGGAATAATTTAGTCTATATAAATAAACGAAAATTTTCAGCATGCTTATTTTCTTGAGGAACCATTTCTTTAGAATAAGGTTTATATGTGAAATTTCTCAAAATCATTTTCAAATCCCGCGGCTTAACTAAACTAGACGTCAGATTTTCCTGTGAGTAAGAAAGCAGGTTATTGTCCTGGTGTTTCTCAGATTTTCCCTTTTTTTTGCCCAGTCATAACGAGCAAGCAGGTGAAAGTAACGCGGTGCGTTTTATTTGATTTTTTCTGGGTCTTGCTGGAGGCGTCTGAAGCGCAACAAATTGCCAAGAAATCGTAAAGTGTGGCAAGTAATTTTTGATTAAACAACGGAGGACCAAAGGCAAAAAATCCAGCAGCGGCTTTCAAAAATTGCCGTCATTCTTTTTAATGCATACAGACTGTGAGAAGGGGGATTCACCGGGCTTAGCTGTGTATGCGTGTGTTCGTGTGTCTGTGTTTCAGAGGGAAGAATAACAATTGGAGGCGACTAGCCGACCAGCCGAGCCCCGAAAACATAAGTGCTGCTCTGCTCTGTCAGCGTTTTATGAAGTGGAAATTTTCTATTTGCCAAAGCGCCAACGAAACCGGAACAAACAGCCGCTCTGTTGACTACACTTAAAAGAAAATGTGGAAATGGACTAGATGTACACTTAAAACAAGATATTTAAAGCCAATATTATAAAGGTTTTTAAAAAGTATAGATGAATACATAAAACAGAAACAAATATACGTTTTTAAAATTGTTAAAAAATAAATATTTCATTGGAAAAATGTGAAAGAATACGTTTATTAAATCTCAAAAACTTTAAAACTTTATTAATATTATTAAAAAAAATTAATTTTACGTATTTGTATATTAATTGTCTAGTAACTAATTATTTTTTTTAATACACAAATGTAAAAATGTCTGTCTAGTGTTCAATAAAACATCTATTTGATGTTCTATCTATATTTTTATTAAATTTAAAACTAGTGTAATTAGCAATAGAGAATAAATTTATAGTGACCTTTTTGAAAAAAATGAATTGCTTTCCCTAATCCACACGTCTTTTTAATGTGTTAATCCAACGTCTGTTGGACAGGAAAAAATAGTGCAATAGATTAAAATATTTTTCCCCATGCATTAAGGGCCTGCCATATATAGTATAGCCTTCTCGCTCGCACAGCGCAAATTACGCTAAGTGCTTTTGGCTGCAGCGTTTTCCGTTGCCTACCTTTTGGGGCAGGGGTTTATAGGGTTTTAGGGCGCTATAAGGGGGTTACGAGGGGTATTTGGGGGGACTGGGGCACCCAGGGATTCTAGGATCCAAACTCTGCCCGAAACTAAGCGGCATCTAGTGTCAGATTATGGCCGCTTTGTGCTCAGCTTGGGCTACATTTTTGATGATGTCATTTGATGTCGGCCTGGCAATATTCATGCTGCGGATTTATGGGCTCCTTGGCTGCTCCCTTCATTTTCCTCATAAAATCTTAGTGTAATGTATAGTTGTTTGTTCGGAGGAACCACGTAAAACCACATACATACCTACTTACCTACAACGCAACCCAAACCAACCCACTTAATTTATGTGCTCAGGTGTCTGAGGCCATTTTTCTTGCGCAAGGGTAAACTCTACTCTACTACTCAGCATTCCTCTCGGTTTTCCGCTCCTCACACAATTATTGCCGTGTTAATTTTGTCATTTATTATGATTTTTTTCTTGGCTGGCTCTTATGGCCCGAAGCCGCAAATAGTTTCATGTTTAGTGCCGAAAATTATGTGTTGACGTTTAAGAGCTGCTGCTGTTGCCGCCTCCGTGGGTTTTTCCTCCTCCGTTTCCTCCGCTTTTCCACTTGCTTTTTCCCCACTTTCCCCCACTTTTCCACTCGCTTTTCCATATAATGGCGCGCAATATGTGCGCCCTTTATGGCCGCAAAGTATGCTACATAAAACAGCAGTCAATGCGAGATGAAATGAGTAGAAAGTTGGTCGCCAGCCGAAGGAGAAAGTTGCGCCTTGTCTGCCATGAATGAATGCGTTTGCATTCCGACAGGACAGACATCGACATCCTTGCAGCCGGAATGGAAATCAATAGCAACTTAAATGAAGGCAGCGAGCAAATACTTTGCCACTTAAAAGTTGCGCACAAGTTGAATACGAATGTCTTGCGATGGAAAAACGTATCTCAATAGGTAGGTATAAAAAGCTATTTAAATAATAATAGTGCTCAATAAATAATATAAATATTTCAAAACTGTATCCCAATAAATAGGTATAAAAAGCTATTGGTATTTAAAAAATGGTAAAGAGACTGTTTTATGTTCTTTTTTAATATAGATATTTTTACGAATTTTATTAGTTGATAAACTATTATTAGTTGATAACTAGGATTTTTTTTAAGTAGTTCAAAGGTTCTATGGCAAAAAAACTTCTTCCATTTTGTTTTTGAGTTATTTTGATTTTTTTTTTAATTAAAAAAAAAAAAAATACTATTATTTTTTAACTATCTACCTACTAACTTACCCTCACTTTTTCGACTTAAATTTATAATAAAGTTTTGTCTTATGAAAAAATGGGATATATTTATGGCCACAACTTAAGTTGCAATGTACATTTAAAAATAGTAATAAATTGCAAGCTTTACTGAATTTTCTTTTATTTTTTGTACACTTTGCGTCAGAGTAACAAGTTGTTTCTGGGGCAGGCACGTGCTTGTCATTGGACTCAAGGCTTCGAGTTGCCTGTTGCAAGTGTAACGTTGCCTGTTGCTGTTGCCTGTTTATGGCCTGCACCCGGGCACAATAAAGTGCAGCACACTGACACAGGACATTGGACAACCAGCTGGGACACGTGTGGTCAGGATGGCATTGGTCAGGATAAAATGGCCAGGATGGAATGGCCAGGAGCTGTCCACAGGCAACCGCAAGCAAATGTGTAACGAGCCAAGTGCGGCAGTTGTTGGGCCAACTTTACAGCGGCAGGACTATTAGGAAAATTGCTGCAAATAAACTGCAGGACGACCTCACCCAAGTCCTGAGTGTCCTTTGATGTCCTGCGCATTTGTCGCAAAATTCCAAAATGTACCCCGACTTAGGTTGTTAGGCATTTGAATGGCAAATAGAAAAAGTTTGTCAAATCCTTTGCTGCCTGCCAACAGACTTGCTAACAGACTGTCAACGGCTCATCATTGTCTTGAGATGGGTTCTTTCTTCTGGCTGAAGGAGAAGTTAGACCGCTTTGATTTCGTGCTTCATTTGGTCTAATCAAACTTGGCGAAAACACAAAAATCTGCAGCATTTAGTTTGCTTGTCAGCCTTGGCCCGTAATTTCCAACTTGGTTTTTATTAACTTTGCAAAGAATTTTGTGCCAAACAGGAATTTCTACGGAATTTACACTCTTCGAAGGCTTTTCGATTTCTCTTCCCCTTTTGTGTGTTATTTTTGGCTTCACACCAGTACCTATAATTTTATTCTTTCTTTTTCCCCCTTAATACCGAAAACAAATTCCGCATTTTAAAAAGGAAAAACCAACCCGAAAAGCAGGTGGTCGGCAGGTTTCGGCAGGATAATTGAACACACTTCGATTGCCAGGCAGTCCGTTTGCGTTTTTATGTGTGTATTTTTGATATTTTTGGGGCTCTCATAAACAAAAGGGAAAATCGGTCAGGCGGGCAAAGCATTTAAAGGGCTTTTTAATTAAAAAGTTTTGTTTGCCCTTCCGCAGGTCGTTTGTTTTTGAAGCCTGTTTGAAAAGGTCTTAAACGATTTGAAAAACTCAAACTTCATCATGCAATTTTCGTAAACAATAATATCGAAATAATATTTAATATTTTTTAGGAATATAGAAACCGAAAAAAACATGTTACTGTGTTTTTGCAATTGATTAAATGACTAAATAACAATATGATTAGTTCTAGGACTAGGATAATAATAAAGTTAATTTTTAATTGCGTAAACAATATTATCGGAATACTTACAATTTGTTTATGACTATACAAAATTAAAATAAAATGTTACTATACTTTTAAAATTGATAATATTAAATTTATATTTAAATTAAAACATAGTTGAAACAAAAATTATCAAGTTATTAAAGCTGTTATAACAACCACTTATTTATTTTTTTGTTCCTCTCATTTATAATAAGCTTATAAGATAAAGTTTAAAATCATTTTGTGCATGAGAAAATTCAAACAGACTGGAGATTTTTTATTTTATTACTCCTTTTCGGAAAACAAAGCAGACCCGATTTTGGCAATTAACATTGAAGTGTATGCACTTCTTTTACAGAAGCCAATTGAATTAAGAATTCGGTTTTTATTGCATTTCATTTTGCTGCTCATTATCATGGGGAATAATTAAAGAATCACAACTGGCGGATGAAAATGAAATTAAGCATAAATTACACGCTTCTGCCAGTGACAATAAAAAGGCCGCAGTGCTGTGATTTATATATATTCATTAAAAATCGAAGTGTCACTTACCTTCTTCATGAATGACATCACATTTGTTGGCAACATTTCGGCGGCTTTTTTACTGCTTTTTGCCTTGGTTGAGAAGAATCGGTTTTGCGTTTTCGTTTGTCGTCGTTTTCCGTGTGTATTTAAAGTGCAATTAATCATGCATCCGCCGTGTTGGACGTTGCGTATACGTTATGCACGTTATGCTCGCTTTGTTCTGCTCGCTGGTAAGCCGGCTTAAGTCATTTCCATTTGGTTTGATTTCGATTCTTTTCCACGTATATTTTGTATTGGCCATTTTTCATTGGCCATGTAAATAGGCATTGACATGGGGGATATTGGCACTCCAGCAGTTCTACATGATCCGGATTGATTTATGAGCAGCTCTAGTTCCACTCCTGGCTTTTAATTAACTTTGGCCATAATTCACAAGTGTTATTGTTGCCGCCGTCTGCAGCTGCTCCTTTTTTGGTTGGAAAACATGGAAAAGAGTACCGAGAAAGAGGCGGAAAATTATAATTAGTCATTTGGCAGTTGGGCGCAAGTTGCACGAGGCGACTTAAAGTGCTCAAAACACGGACGTGTAATGGTCCGCCCGGCTTACACCGTACTTAGCTGGGCTCCATAAATTTCCCTACGATAACCATCAACTGTGTTTTTCGGCTTTCCCCGTTTTCCCCGCTTTTCCACCATAACAAGCCAGCCAATACACACGCACACATGCTGAAAAGCGCTGAAAGTCGAGCGGAGAAAGTTTATAAGGCGGAAATAATGTGTCGCCTAGCATGCAAAAAGCCCCTTTTCCATTGTGACCTCTATAATAAGTTGGCCCTGTTAAGTGGGTTAGCCAACGAAACCGTAAAGTTAAAGCACGAAACTGATTTTCAATAAGTTTTTTAAGCCCTGTACCAAGTTAAAGCTGTAATGTGAATGAAGTTGCTTTTAAGACACTATTTTTAGAGCTGTCATCGGAGGAACACAGGGGAAAAAGTGCAACAAATTTTTATAAGAAATTGAACTTATTTGTAATTAGTTATTATTTTTAAATAAAAACATTATATATATATAAATTAATTAAGAAAGCTCTAACTCTAACTAGACTATCGCCATCGAGCAGAGCAATCAGAATGCTTTGGCCAGCTTATCGGGCATTCACTGCAGTTGGGATGTACGTACTATGTAGTGCACATAAAAGGGGAACTCGGAGCTGGCTTTGCTGTTTGCCTGGAAATGGAATTATTAAATGAAAGGACCCACATAGCAATTCAATTGTCGAGCTATATGCTCGATTTGAGCTGCATAGGGATGAGTATATAGTGTGTGTGTATGGTTAAGGGATATATATACATCCCAATTCCCATTGATGTTGCCAACGGACAACGGATTAAAAGCAGAGGGATGCCGATCAAGTTTGGAAGTTGCAAACTTTGAGCCAAGTCATTGGCGCAGAATGCAGTTATTTCCCTTTTTTGCAGCCATTTGAAAAGTTCATAAAAAGTGATGCGACAGGGGGAATGTGTTTACGCCCAATGAAATAGCACGACTTGCCAAATGAGCGGGCAAACTTTGAAATTGTATTTGGGGAAAAATGAAAATTAGTTGCCGCTTGAGGCTGTCAAAATGCCAGCGACAGGACATGCATTCCGCGCAGCGAAATCAGGACTTTTGGTTTTTGGAGGAAGATGTAAGGCAAAGTGTTACAAGTGTTTGGTCGCAGCAGGGGGCTGTTATGAAAATGGGTGGAAAAGCTGGGCGGAAAAGCGACGACAGGGCCTCTCGTGCTTACACAAGCTTAGCGAGCAAGGATGTGCTCATAAATTGTAACTTTCCGTTGCTGTTGTTGGTGTTGGTAACAAGCATGAAATCACATAAACACACACACATACACACACACACTCGCTGCGAAATCAACAGGATGAAGCGCACGAGGCCGGATGCTGGCAAAGTTCCAGCCAACTTGGTCGGCTGTAGTTGGCACCCAGTTAATTAGCGCGAAATTGGGAGAATGAGTTTCCGAATCGGGCTATGTGCCTTGTGCTCTGGGCCATTGCCTATATGCTCTGGGCCAAAAGCAGCCCTCCTCCTGTGCATGCTAATGAAACTGATCAGATTGCCATAAGCATTAAAGGTCGTTGTCTCTGTGTGTGTGTGTGGGTTTTGGATATAATCATGCATTAAATAAAGTTCAACAAGATTTATCACCAACATGAATAGATCCTGTGCAGGACTTGCGACCCAAGGACATCGCAATTGTCACGCACAGGCAAACAAAGCTCCGAAAAAAGACAAAAACCCGGCTGTAACCGAAACAAATCGAAATTGAAACGTTTGAATATTAAATAGAGGGTTTTACACAAAAAGAAATTGAGTTTTTCATATGCAAATGCCATTTTCCAGTTAAACAGAAAGAGTTTTATAATAAAATGTTTTTAAAATTATCTACCACTTTTCAGTTAATCAGAATAAGTCTAACCATATAATGGCAATTATATTATGAAGTATAGAATGTATTCATATGTAAAATATATAGGTCTTTGTATAAAAAGGTGTAACCCTCAAAATATATATTTACAGTTAATTTTGTTATTAACAACAAACTTTCTTGTTAATTTCAGGCGTACTAAAATAAGTTTCAATAAATTAAATAGTTGCGAACATTTTTCAATAGTCTCTTCTTTGAACAAACTAAATACATGGATCTAAAAATCAGTTCTATATATCATAAAATTGTAACGCTAAAGTTTATGAATTTATAGAAAACCGCTATTTTTTAATTTAAAAATTGTATTTTGTTTTCTGTGCATTCCTTGATAGAACATTTTTTCGAAATTTGTTTTATATTTTTCTGTGTGTGTGTGGGCTGCGGCAAACTTTCAATGTCCGGCGATTTATTGCGACTAACGTCACACTGGGTGTCAAAGTGAATTGTTATGCCGGAACGTGCATGGGACACAAATTAAGTGCAGGCCAGTCCGAAATAAATGGAGGAAAAATACGGCAAAAGCAATTCCTCAGCCAAATGAAGCGCAACAGTTTTTGAACAGGGAATAAAAAGTAAAAAAAAAGGAGATGAACCATGGACCCAGAGCAGCATCAGGTCCAATTGCAGTTGAGAAATCGCAGCGTAGTTCATAAATAAACCGGACAGCGGGAGGCACTACCAGAATAGCCAGAAGTCGAGCTGAAAAAGGGGGAAACCACCGACCCCATGAATGGCATGAATGAAGCGTTGTCAACAAAGCCAAGCGATGGGGAATTTTCCCGGCGGACTGCAGATTACAAACTCAGTCAGTGTAGGGTCCTTCTCCCTTATTTTTTGTTGTCCTGTTGCTCGGCTTGTTAACACACTCCGTGTTCCGTTGTTGTGGCTTGAACACCAAAAGGATGGCAGAGGATGCCCAGCAGAGGATCCCAAGGACCAAGATAAGATGAGTCCCACTCCATCTCATAACCACTTGAGGTGCCTGCACAAAAAGTGTGTGTGCGTGTGTGTCACTTGAAACTATGAAGAATCATAGTTTATCGATCTCGGGCAAAATTAATTTGCCTTTCGAGAACATGGCAAAGTTTCGAGGGGACACAACTTTAGAGAGAAGAGGGAAACTTTCAATGAGCTGCAGAAAAATTCAATGACACGTGCCAGTATTAATTCTAGGAATTCTTAAATTAAATCCTTTTTACTACGCAAAGAAAAATAAGCTTAAGTGCAATCTTTCTTTATAAACTTCATTAATACAAATTCGCCATTAAAACCAATTTATAAAAAATGAATGAGCTGTTTTTATTTAATTATAAGTAGCTTCAAGTGCTAATTGCCCACTTTAAATATTTAGTTCACTTGAACAAAAAGGGAAGAAGGGATTTAAAATCATTATAAAATATTTTTTTACTGATTATATTAATTAATCAGAAAAGCAAGTACCTATTAGCAAGTTATATATAAAAGATTAAAAGGAATTGAACATTAATTTTATAAACTTAATGATTTTTTTTAAACCTTTTACTCATTTTTAATATATTCAATCTTGAATAATAATTCTTAATATACTTCAACATTGGCAGAGTTATTCTGAGTTAGGAAATCAGAATTTTAATTATTCTGATTCTGTGTTTGAAAACATGGCATTTTTCTTTTAGTATTTCTTAATTTAAAAACTTCTATTGCTTGTCCTTTTATACCACCCATTATTAATCTTCTTGTTTTTATATAATAAACAAAACAGTTTTAAAGCTTGGCGTATTTAAAGTTTCTTGAATTATTTGAGGAGCTTGAGTATGTAGGTATGAGTTTTTCGTGCACTGTTGCCACGACAGGCGAGATTGTGGGCCAAACAGGATTCTTAATGAAACTGCGACCGCGGCCTGTTTGCTCTTGGCCATCCGGACATTGGACCATTCGGTCATCAGGACATGCACATCCAGCGGCCAAGTGACAAGCGGACGGGATGTCAACGCCATGGCTGGATAATTGACAGAGACGGGCTTACGTGGCGGATACGCGATCCCCGCCTCCTTTTCGCAGTCCTTGGAAAGGTTTAATTGCTGGAAATAAACAGAAGAAGTTCCAGGAAGTCGTGTGGGCCGACCGAACAGATTGCTGCCTGATTCTGATTTTGATTGTGAATCCGAATTCGAGTCCCTTTTCCATTTCCATTTACAATTTGGCCCAGGATTTTCACGATTTTCAGGACTTTCGCAATGCCAAACACGTACGCGGCCAAATGAAATAAAACTACGCCCACCAAAAAACGTAGAGCTTTATCGTAAAGGAGTCACAAACAAAGGCTGGAAATCGTTTAAACAGCCGACAAACTCAATTATTCAAATGCTATGGGGGCGTAGGGGGCGTGGCAAGGGAGTAGCTCATGTGACTCAAGTGGCACTCGCTTTTGCGGTCGCACACGGCGATACTTGCAACTTGACATTTAATCAAAGCAAAAGCCTAAGCGAGAGTCCTTTAGAGTCCTCATGCTTCCTCCTCGATGATTTCCCCATCAAGGACCTTCGTTTGGCACCGTTTTGCGGTCTGGCCGCAAAACTGTTGACACGTCGTCATCGCTCTCCATATCCTGTCGACTGTATCCCCTGACTTTCATCTTAATTGAAATCGAATCAAAGTGTTTTCACTCAACAAATGAAATTGTCTGCCGCACGCATTGTTCGACAATGTTCTGTTTCGGTTTCTGTTTTTGTTTCTGTGGCCAACTGTTGCCGCCAACTAATGACCTGGCATTGTGTTCTCTCACTTCTAGGTTTTACACTCAATGTGCTGGTAGTATTGTGGCTTATTGTTTCATAAATTATTTATTACAAAACTTTATTTGTCCTCCGTCTCTTTGTTCGCTCCTTTTGGCCCCCAGGCAATTGGCCAGACTTTCTGTCGAGATATTTGATTATAAACTGGAACAGAAACGGAAACCCATTCACTTCACAATGCCAGAAGTTGCGTGCCACGATTTGGGAGATTGGATTATGGAACCAATATTGTCGTTCCGAAATGCGTTTGATTTCTCCTTCTTCGGCTCAGATTGTACAAAGCTTTTGGGCCGGGGCTTATTGGACAACGGAAGCCCATCTCCCCAATGCACTGTGCCACACAATCGATATCCAACAACTGGCGAGTGCTTAACAAATATTACGCACTCGCTCCGTTTGATTTAGGAGGAATTACGCATACGCAGTGTGCACAACAAACATTACTACAGAGAGAAATATATATAAGAGCAGTAATTTGCAATCGCCTAAAGGTCGTTTAAAATATTAAGTCTGTCCCTTTTAGCTGCTAGCTTCAGGAAATTTATATATTTAAAAATTTAATGTCAGTAATTTTTTAAGGAAAAAAAATAATTTTATGTTCTCAATTAACCCGCTGCATTTGAAAATTTGTTAAAGGTGTATTTATTTACTCGAATGTTATGTTAAATTAAGTTAATAAACTTCTTTTGTATTTAATGGCACAGTTTAAAGGAAAATGGTATTATAACTTAAAAAATGCACTAAATTTCTCTTTAATTTAAGCCCTACAAGAATTATACAATTATGAATTCAGTTTAATGCTATATATGCCCAATCAGAAGCTTATTTGTTTGTTTAATCAACTAACTGAAGTGCTAAATGTAATATATCTCCTTAATACTCTAATCTAAACACTATTTTTTAAACCGAAATGTGGATGTGTTTTTCCGTGCCGAGCATTAAAGTGAGTGACAAATCAACTTGATATGGATATGGGTAAAAAAACCCCTCAGCTCGCCGGGCGCTCATTAACGCTTTGTAAAATGTGCAGCTCAACGACTATTTTCTAGCATGACAACACGCAACGGTGCCACGCCCTCTTCTCCACATTTCCATCCAACCCCAAAAAGGGGCGGCGTTTTGGCATTTATGATGTCGCGCCAACGTGGCAAACTCATTAGGAATGCGTGAAATTCAACACACAGTCTCATCCGAAATTTAAGAGCGTAGACAGTGCGTAATTGTCGCTTTTGTCATAGTCGTAAAACCAAGGGAAACGCTACTTAATTTTCTTATTAGAGCATCATTTCTACGCATCCCTTTGATTTATTCGCTGCAAAAACTTTATATTAATTACGCACGGCTGGCATGGGAAATTAAATCAAACGAAGCACATAGAACAAAAAAAAATACAAAGAAGTGTATGGTATAAAAACCGAACCTCGTGATAACAAAACCCCCGGCGAAGTTGGAAAAAAGGCTTAATGGCCGTTAAGCGATGGCACGACCGTAAAGATTTTCGGCAGACTGGGATCCACGGAGAAAAGTGACCGCAATTAATTAACCACAAGGCGGCGAATGCCGCTGGCAATAAAAAATAATTATAATTATTTTCAGCAAGTGCTCGCAAAATGATACGCCTACACTCATAAAAGAGGAGCGAAAAGACTTAAGTGTAAAAAAAAATTTTCAAAATCTGGTTAAGCAACAATTTTAAATTAAGTGAAATTTTGAATATTAAAGTACTTTTTGCCGATTAATAATGAATGCTTTAAAAACGAATGAAATTTAAATTGGTTAAGACATATTATATATTTATGCACATTTTAAAGAAATCGAATACAAACAATTTTAATTTATTATTTACGTACATTTTATTAGGCCAAAATTTTTGTATGCACTGATTCAACAAAATGTCCTTTAATATTTATGGTATTTTTCTTAGCTAAAAAAATACGAACAAAATGTATAAGAAGTAATTTAGTGTGTGTCCTTTTTTTTGTGACTTAAAAGATTGTGATTTTATTTATTTATAAATAGCAATTTTCTTAACCGCTTTTATGTATTGATTCAAAAGATTTGAGTTTTTATAAATATTAATTTTCTAAGCCGAAAAAACTGAACAAATTAAATAGAATTAATTGTCTTTTTGAAAAAAGGGGGACTTAATGTATGGCAATTTTCTAAGCAAAAATAAATGGACACAATTTACAAGTGTAGCCTTAGAAAAGCTAGATTTTAGGCACAAAATTCCACAAAATAATATAAAGTGGAAGGCATTCATTGCGTAATTAAATGCTGGCCCAAAGTGAGCAGGGCAAAGGTTAAGCTGACTGGCTGTCAAGGTTCTGTGCTTTGTGCTGAAGCATATTGCCAGTTAATTATTCAGCGTATGCATGAAGGATATAAACCAATGTCAATGTCAATGTCGAACTGTCGGAAAACTAAACAGAGCCGTAAAAACAGCTCAACGGCCTCATGAACTTTTGCAGCGCATCTAATGCGAATTCAATGTCGTCCTGGCATTCCTTTTAGTCCTCCTCCCCTAAAACCGCCTTCGACTCGTCCTTGGAAGGACGACCTCGTGGGCCGTCAGCAAAGTCAATTAAAAATATGAGCGCAAACTAAATAAATTGTCATAAATATGCAAAAGAGCACAAAATACACATTTTCAACCAAGGACATGACAACCTGGATTCAAAACTTGTTTATTCAGCATTACACATAATCATGTCTACCCATCGATATCCCTGACTCGGGCATATGTCCTGTCATTATTGTTATTGCTCGCACTGTCGTTCAACAGTGGTTGTGTTGTGTTGTCTTGTGCTTACTTATTTACTTATCGCACCACACAAAACATGTGTCTGGGCTGTCGCAGCTGTCTGTCTGCGGTAAAAACCCATTTTTCCCGACGCCTTAAGCTGGCTCCTCCGGATCGCATTCCCATATTCATTTCCATTCCGACATTCCCTGCATCTCAGCACAGTTATGGCGGAGTCCTGTAAATTGCATTGCAAGTACTAGAGGATACACATGTCGAAATACCACGAAACCAGATCATGACTTCTGAATTTGCCCTTACTCAATATTTGCTTATAGCTGAATAGAAATGTTACCCCAAATATAAATGTAAAAAGTAAATCAAATATTCTTAATATATTTATGAAATTTTAAGTAACGATAAATAAAAATTATACCTTAATGATCAAACAATTAAATGAAATATTTAAAATTGTTTTTTGAGCATTTCATACTTTCAACGATTTTCCATCTGAAGTCTAGACATTAATTACAAGACTTTCTGTAACTAGAAAAATCTACCCTCTAACATTCTAACAATTTTCCTTGTTAGGTTAAAAAAGCTTTAAAAAGGAAATTAAATAAAAATCTGTTGTAAAACTTGTTATGAATATTTTTTGATTTCACAATTGGTCTTCAATATTTTTAAATATTTTAAAGTATATGATATTGAAATAAAATGTTTAAGTAGCCAGAAAAGTATTTATAATATATATTTATTTTCAATTTATTTGAAATATTTTAATATCATATCAAGTCATATAAACAAAAGCATTTTAGCAAAGCTGTTACCATTTAATAATATTTATCACAATTTTTGACAACGCTGACCTTCTATACAAAAAACCCATATTACTCTCAATTACCAATGCAAATTTATACCCTTCGAGTGCTTTATTCCCTTGCAACATTAAACAAATCTGTATGGCCGGAAGGTCAAATGTGAGACCAGCAGACAGACAAATATTTAATTCCCACAATCGCACACAATCCGACCTCCCAGCTTTCCAGTCCTTTGCCCTATTTATTATTTATGAAATATTCAGCACTTATATTCATTAATTTGATTGCGATCCGAATTGATGCATTTTTCATATGGTCAGCCAAATTGACTTTAACTTTCTAGCGAAATGAGCGCCAATTGAAATGGCAAATTGGGCTAATTCGGTCTGATGAAGCACTAATTATACGCCATTTCAGCTACGAATTCATCCGGGGTGTATTCAATTAAATCCGCGCAAATCGAGGAGCCCCGGGCCATATTGATTGCAAGGTCGCATAAAAATAAACATGAATCCTGGTTGATTTATGACAAATTGAGAAAAGTAAACAGAGCGAAATCTGCGTTTGATATTTTCCTTATGTAACATATTACGCATACGCCGCGTGGGCGGTCACAGCCTCAAGTCATTTTTCATGATAATGTATTTAACATACATATTAATCATAGGCGGTGCAGAGGATGAGGGCTCGGGGGCGTGGCAAGCCGCAGCGAAGGCATTCTGTTATTGAGCTCCACAATTTAAATTGATCCGCAAGCAATAGCAAAGCAATAATTGCTGTGGTTTTGGTTTTGCCAGGACGGCACAGAGATACTTTAGTTTTGCACCCGAAGAAGACGGCAACCGAGGCCATTACTCGACCGCACATCCTTGCCAGGACTCTCCATTGCGGAATCCGGACCTGCGGAATGCCACAGGCATCGCACATTGTCCGGGGGACTCGATTCTGCAACGCAAACCTAATCATCTGCGCACAGTAATCCCATCATTTGTAATGCATACTCATCCGGGGTTGGGCAACGAGCACTGACAGAAAATATCACCCTAAGAGGTCCTTAACATGATTTGTTATTGTTATTTTTATCTAGAATATTACAACATTTATTATTGGTATATTGTCTGCATTAAATGAACAAACATTTTCCTGCATATTCAATAGAACTGCATATTTATATATATACACTTATAAATATGAATTCATTTTATATAATTTCATTTTGTTTTTCATTTTCATTTGCTTTTACATAAATTATTTTTGTATTGTCTCAATTAATTATATTATATTACTTAGTCAGTTTTGGCTATACTTTCTTGGTAGAAAAATGTATAGTGAACTAATAAAATATATAAATAAATATTAGTTTCTATAAACATAGTAAGGGAAACAGTTTTCTACAAATGTTCAAATTCTGTAAGAGATTTGACTTTCTGATAATATAAACACAAGCACTACTAACTACTACTGCTGCTTCAATCGACAAGCGTTGCTTTTCTGCAATAATGGCGCTATTATATTTAATGGTAAAAATAACTAATCTTTGTACCAGATCCTTATTATTTTCCCGTGTAAGCCCACAAATACAAAAGTTAGTTGTGGGTAGGCCTCTCATCTGGCCATTGTGGCAACAAATTACCTGTGCGATTTGATTTCATTTCCGTTCTGCTGCCACCGCCCTCACATTTTCATCTGCAGGTTCGGTATGAGGAATTCTTCAGAGAGGAATATGGCTAGCTCTGTAGTTACCAGATCCTTTGCCATCTAAATCATCATCATCAAGCTGCTCGATTTGTTGTGCGCCGTCGATGTGCATTCGGTTTTTTGGCTTTCGATTTGAAATCGTGCTGCGTGAATTGGAGCTCAACTCTGCAAGGATATGAGCGAAGGAGACTTGTTGTGAGCATGTCCTGGCATTAGACAGCTGTCGAATGTGAAATGTGGAGCATAAATCAAATGATATATATTCGACAGGGCGGAAAACACTTCGCCTAAACTGTAATCAGGCAGCCTTCGTTCCAAATTCATTAATTTTCGTTTAAATTGATTCAATCTTGTTTACAAAAAATATAATTTTCACTCTTCTCGATTTGTGTTTTTCCCAAAGAGAATAATTTCTAGAATATTTTGTTTTTGTCTTCCAATTTGTGATTTTATAAAACTATACAAATATATCTGTAAGAAACTTATATTTAGTTTTTAAACTTGTAGCGTTAGCCTTTATAGAAAATAAATAAATAAATATGTAAACAATGCTGGGGAAGAAAATTCTTTTCTCTCTTTCAATATCGATTCTGTTTTAATGTGTCTCTACAATTAATACTTTATCACAGCAACTGACTTCTCTCCATTTACTCCGAGTACTAAGTACCTACTAAGCCCCCAAAAGTGCAGAGAAAGTATATTTTTATCGTACATTCGGCTGACTTGGAAACTTTTCGCCGGCTGTTGCTGTAGCTATGTTTATGTTTATGTATGTATTTATGTGTTTATATTTATGTATATGGCAGATATATATACTAAATGTGGCTGGATCTGAAGCCTTCTTGTGGCTGTTGTCGTTACTCTCGTAATTATGAAAGTTGGCCAACTGGGCTGCGGTCGCGCGGTCCTTGGGGCATTCAAGTTTTGCGCTCCCACTCCTCCATCTTTTTCGGCGTCCTAAAGTATGCAACAGAAATTGAGGGATATTCTTTAGACTATAAAGATATAGTGTGGTGGCACAGGACATCCTCATTACGTTCAAGTGACAGTGGCACATTCGGAATGCAGAATTTCTGTGGCCGAAAAACTTTTGAGCGACTTAGAGGCTTTTGTTGAAAGTTGATTTAAATTACCAAATGAGAAATGTAGTTGTTGGCCGGAAGTTGTCGTCGTTGTCGTTGTCAGTCGTGAGTCGTAAGTTGTCGACAGCTCGACAAAAACAAGGGCATAAATTACACAAAGGCAGCTGGCAGCAGGAGGACCAAAGTCCTAGTCCATTTTCGACAGCATCAAAGTCACTCAAGCACACGGGGCCCATAGTCGAGAAACTTGGTCGAAAGTAAAGTATGCAAAAAGCCCTGGCTGGAGTGAAATTATGAAGCACTGCCAAATTCGTTCAAATTGCCAGACAGCCGGGCCGCCAGTCAGTCAGCCAGTCAGCCAGACAGACATCCTGTGTCCTGGACCAACGTACGTGCCGGGAGCTCTGGGTCTGAAAAAGTTAACCCGGGCCACGTAGCCATACCACTTCACTTCACTTCGCCGCTTCGATCCCCTGCTGCCAACGAGCCCAACTGGTTTTTGTTCAATCAACAACAGGGCTATATTGCCACCCGCTTGTTTGTCTAAGTGAAGTGAAGTGTGCCAAAGATATTTGCGCTCGATATTCGTCCAGGCATTCCGGGTTAAGGCCTGCCACCCAGCCACTCTTTCAGTTTTAGTTCTTAGTACACTGGGCGCAAATGTTACACGATTCTCTTAGCAATTAAATTTCAAACATAGCATAAGAACATATGTTTCTTTGCAGTTCCTGTTTGTATTTAAAAATATAATAGCATATATTTTAGGACGAAGTATTTTGACAATACATTAAATAATACTCAATATTTTTACACCACTGCACAATACATCTGAAACTAATTATATAGTTTAAGGAACATCGCAAACCTTAAAACATTTCTAAGCTCTTTAAAGACATTTTTGACTTGAATAAAACTTGTCGTTGTTAAACATTATAATTAATACTTCTTTACAGTACAATTATATATCTTTGCATTTCAATATTCTACATTTTTTAAAAGTTTTTCCTTTAGTATAGATATTATTTTAATTTGTTTTTCTTGAAATTTCACTTTTTGGTGCATGTTATATAAAGCTAGCCCTTGTTCTTTCCGTCGTTGTTCTTTCATTTTATCCTGATATTTTACTTGTGCAATTTCATTTTCTAAGACGTGTTTAGTACGTAACAAGTGGTCCTTTAAAGACTTTTGAAACTTGCGGAGTGGAGGATGATTCGGGGTGAGAAGGGCCAATTGTTTTGCTTCAGGGGTCGAACCAGGAACCAGATCGGAATTACTGGCAAAGTCACACGAATCGGTCCCTTCAATATCAGACATTTTTTTAAGTCAACAAATATTTAGATCTCAAAAATATAAATATGTTTCTGCTCCTATGAAGTTTGACGTATAACTTTTGAATGTCAAAAATGTTTAATATAAATAACAAAGCGGTTGCTATGGATTTATGTAGTTAGGTAAGAAACATTTGTTACTTTTATATTGTAAAATGAAAAAATGGTTAACCCATGTTAAACTTTCATAATTCACCTTTAAAGCGAATTTTAATTTGTTGTTTTTATTTGGGTTTCTTTCAGGTTGAAAATAAGTATTAAATAAATAATTATTAAAAAGAATTTTTGCGCTTACATTCAAAAAAAGAGTTTTAGGTTTAACATATATACTTTTTAACGTTATAACAAAAAACCAAAAAACAATATTTTTGTCAATTTTTTCTCTCTGTAATCCCAAAGAATAGGCTTATGGCGAAATGACTGTATCACTCAATAGCCAGAATATGACAAAGAGAGTACTTGGGCCTGATGGAGCAATAACCAAGCTGACAAACAAGTATTTCTATTTCACTTCGAACGCCGCTCTGTCTAATGAGCCATCCTTTCGGCAGGATTTCGCTTCCTGGCAGCGGAAGAGCACCGGACACACGTGTGCCTTTGATTTGAATGCGACAAAAGAAATTAGTTTCATATGCAGAGTGTTGGGGGGATTGTTCATGCTCTAGGGATTATGTGGAACAAATACAATCAGGCGTAAAGACATTTTCTCTTTTACGAGTCTTGGATATGCTTTCTTTCAATAGCTTGTTTTGAAGTGAGCATGAACTTAAAATATTTAGGGGTCTACAAATTGCGTCTTTAAATATTTTACACTTACAATTATGGTACTATGACTGGCTTTTTCGTCATACCTCGTCATAAATTGCAGTTATTTTTATCAAAACTATGGAATACAATGTTTTAATGTTGAAATGTCATACCTCGTTGAATTCGTCTTAAAATTTCCAACAAACTGGCATCCACAGTTTTTAAGTTTGTTTTGGGTTAATTTTCCAAAAAATAAATGGCGATTAAATAAGAAGGCGAATAAATTTAATCTGTCTCACTTTTTGGATTGGCCGCTGGCTGCTCAGGCAGAAAAAGCTGTCAATATTAAAATATAAATATTCGGCAGAAGATCGAATTAAAAGCTCAAATGATTTGGTCTGCATATGTCTGAAAATTTAATAAAATCCCAGAAATTGTCGTGGCCAGCGAGAGCTAAGCCAAGTTTTTAATCCAATCATAAGTTATTAGCACCCACTCTTTCTGAGCAGGAAAAGCTCAAAGTGAAAAATGAAAGAAGAAAAAAAGAGAAAGCCATTCACTTGTGGAGCGTTTTTTGAGCGACATGTTCGCCATGCGAGGGCGTAGCATAAAAAACTTTATTCATGGAGTTTTTTTCTATGGTCACCACTGGATTGTAGGCAACATTCAACGAGGCGTGGATCCCTTTTTCAAATCGAGTGAGTCCCTTTTGATGGCCTTTGTGGGTGGATGTGAATGTGAATGTGAGTGTGCATGTGGAAGCTGTGCGTTGACGGCAAGTTTCACAAATGATTTCACAATTTTGCATAAATAAATGTCAAGTGTGCGCCGGAGCATGCGGAGAGTTGCTGACAGTTTTCTAATAAACCCAAAGGACGAGAAAGAAAACAGGATAATCAGCGCGCAGGACAGGGATAAAGAAACCCGAGCAACAAGTTGTACATATATCTTGTGCGTCCACTTTAGCTTAGCAATAATAATAACCTTGGCTGCCATTTCTCAATGTGTGTTTGTGTGTGTTCGTGTGTGAGTGCGTCGCTTTTACCCATATGAAAATGACAATTTCCATTCCCATCGACAGTCGACAGTCGACACTCGACACTTTACCAGTGATGCCACCATACCCAAAGCAAAAAAGATTATGGGAAAAAAAATATAATTTATAAAGCAAATTGCTATTTTTGTTTAATACCCAGATCTACTATCTAAATACCTAAAGTGAGAGCACTTTTTAGTTTCGTAATTAAGTAGTTGAAAAGAATAACAACAAATTAAAATTACCATACCTGTGGTCGATAGCATTAAAAATAAATTGCTTTTAATTGTTAAATTGTCAGATCTAGTTTCTGAAATGCTAAACTGTCAGCACTGCCTGTGTGCTATGGTTATTTTAGGATTTCCCAGCAACGCTGGCAATTTTAATAATGTTTACTCAAGGCGTAGCCTTAGATCATTTTTGCCGCCCCCTCTCGAAACAAATAATAATGGGAATAATGGAAAACCAGGAGTCGGGAAAAGTAGCCCGGCTGCAGGACTCGTGTGTGCAGCGAGGCATGCCAAATGACAGCTGCTAGTAAATGGGAAAATGAGAACGAGAATGCCAGGATCCTAATAAGCAGGCCATAAGATGCAGCACGCTATTGCAGTGCAAAACTGACAGTTCCGGGCTACGTGTTTGTTTTGTGTCGCCAGTCGAGAAATTTCAGCCATCACAGCCATTAGACCCGTAATTTATATTCCGCCCATCAAAGCAAAGGGGTCACATTATCCTTTTGCCGCTCAGCACAAAGGCAGCACAAAGCATTTATATAAATATCATTTTAAGCTGCCTCTTGCTGCAGCTGCTGCCTAATGAGCGGATTAAAGTGCTCTAATATAAAGGTCTCCGGTGCTTCCTGTTCGTGGAAGTGTTTTTCCGCACCCTAGTTGGTTCCGGGAAAAAGCTAATCCCGAGGTTGCAACTCAAAAGCGTGGCAGGAGCACCAACTAGTGTTACTTGCTTTCAAAG